TCATACCAAAGAGTATGCACATAAGCAAAAAGGAAGAAATGCAAAAGAGCACACTGTCATAATATGAAAATGCAAACATTTTAACATTTTCAGCATTTTACAGACTATGATGAGTCCATGATGAATGTTTCTCCTGATTTAAAACTTTAAACTACAAAACCCAATTCCACTGAAGTTGGGAAATTGTGATAAATGTAAATAAAAACAGAATACAATGATTTGCATATCCTTTTCAACCTTTATTCAATTGAATACACTACAAAGACAAGATATTTAATGTTCAAACTCATAAACTTTTTTTTTTTTTTTAAATAATAATTATCTCAGAATTTCATGGCTGCAACACCTGCTAAGTAGTTGGGACAGGGGCATGTTTACCACTGTGTTACATCATTTTATTTTTTTGCCACCTTTCCCAACTTCTTTGGCACGTGTTGCAGCCATCAAATTCTGAGTAAATTATTATTTGCAAAAAAAAAAAAAAAAGTTTATCAGTGTGAACATTAAATATCTTGGGCTCTATTTTCGTGTAAGTATCCCCCCTCCCTAACTCAGCTCCTCCCAGTGGCGTAAGTCGTGGCGAGGGAGGAGAGAGGTCGTGGAGTGGATTTAACACTGCCCGAGACCTGTATTGACCAATAACATCAGCTCCTCTCCTCGCCTTTAAATCCGCCACGGGCGAGGCATATTACTATTTTCGTGAAGTAGTCAAAGAGATCAAGAGATGTCTGAAGACAGTACTGCCACATGATGGCGATGGAAGGCAGCCCCTCAACAAGTGTCACTGTAAACGCTGCAAAGGGCATCCCTCACACTCTCTCATATGAGCACAGATGGATTCGTTGTGTGTAATGTTGGACCCACTGGTAAGACAAACACCCTTTTCCACAAATAAAGACACTCAAAGTTGCATATTTTCAAACCTCACGTGACAAAGGTGGGTTGTGTGCATGGAACATCATAAATTCCAAAAATGGCATTAAAATCGGAACCATCTGTGCGTAGTGACGCATTGCGCTCTGTGGCCTGGCTCTGTCTTTCATAGATGTTGGCATATAAAATAACAAAACTGAATATTATAATATTCGTATGTAGGCTTAAAGTAAATAACTCATCTGATCACTGAAACAAATCATCTGTCGCTGATTCTGTCGACACCTCCCCCTGCCACGCCACCATGCCCAGCTTGGCGGATCTCGGTGCGCCTCAGTCCACGAAAATACTAAACTGGCTGTACGCCGGGCTCCGCCAGACGAAAATACAACTGTGCGGGATCCGCCACCCTCCGCCACGTCCCCGGCGTACACGAAAATAGAGCCCCTTGTCTTTGTAGTGTATTCAATTGAATATAGGTTGAAAAGGATTTGCAAATCATTGTATTCTGTTTTTATTTACGTTTATCACAATTTCTCAACTTCAATGGAATTGAGTTTTGTAGATTAAACTAGTCACAAATTCTTGGTCAGAAATGAATGATTACTTCTACAACAGCAGAGAAAACTGTACAATAACACTTTGGTGATCAGCGCTGAAACAATATACAGTGAGAACACGGTGAGCAGCTCTAAACAGCTGTACAGTACGTTGGTATGTCACAGGAACATAAATCTGATGAAAGAGACTTTCTATATGAGACAACATCAATTACGCTGGAAAAAAAGCACAATCAAGCTCTTTGCTGTCGCCTCTTCAGGGAAACATGACGACAATATGTGTGTGAGATCAAGAAGTTAATTAATGAGGGGATCCCATCATCTGATTGGTGGTGGGCTCAGTTTGGACCATGATGCAAGTAAACACAGTCTGCTTTTGATACACTAAACACCTAAACAATGTGATTTACATTTACTTTGTGAAGTTAAATCAATTTAAGTAAAGCTTAAAAAAATGTAGGAACAGGTATTTGGCAAACCTGTCTGCAGGGATTCAGGTTCTCCTATGCCACAACAGATCAAACAGTGCAAGTCCACAGGAGAGAAAAACAGGAGGAGGATAGTTGGTGAAGTGTATAAACCGACATTTTTACTGTCACCTATGTAATGATGATTGTGACTCAGGTGTGTTATAGTCATTACATTTTTCTGATCTGCTGCTTGCTGTGTGTTTGTGTTTGTGACTGTGTTTTATGAGCTTTAATTTTGGTAGCAACTATCAGTGTGCATGACCACATCCTGTCATGTCTGGACAAGTGGTGTGTAGGTTACAGACTTCAGTGATCTCTGGCCAGACTAAGAGTAAAATGATCCTGAACAATACAGAGTCCTTCATGAGTCAGGTTTAATTCCCTACAGCTAGAGCCAATATCCACAGCGAGCAGTGATATCTGCTATATCTCTGATATCTCTCTAAATGAATGAGAGACAGACATAGCAGGTGCAAACAAAACAACACATGTAATCCAACATAACATATACCACAGAGCAACTAAACCAACTCCGCAGGGCAATGTAACATACACCACAGAGCAATGAAACACACCGCAAAGCAACAAAACATACATCACATTTCAACCAAGCATTTAGCTGCACTGTTTCTAGACATTTTGGGCAAGTGGCATGTGTTGGTCTTGAGAAATTAGGCTTGTGCAGAAGTGCTACAAACTGCAGTTTTCTCAGTTTCCACTTGAGGCTGTCTGCAGAAGCATCAGAAACTCTGTACACACTAAACTAAATAAGCCTTTCTTTAGAAGAAAAAAATGTTTACAGCCTGGTTCAAATGACCACTTTTGGTTTAAATGTTTTTTCCTTTTTTTTTCTTTTGTATTAGGCTTATTTTAAAATGATCACAGTTATAGGATTGGTGAATCAGAGGCATGGCTAACTTGACTGGCAGGTGAGCATACTGTAGGAGGCTAAATGCCCGCCTCTGGTAGGTTGAGCTCGAATTAACAACACTCTGCTTTAAGAATGAATGAGAGACATGGCCATTACTTTGACCATTCACAGTCTATGGTTATGGGCTATGCAAGCTTAACAAGCTAGCACTAAAATACAAGTTAGATATAATTTAACTTTCATGCTCTTAGTTCTCACTCTCTGCTTCTTTAGCCGCACCATGTTAAGGCAATCACGGTAAGGTCAAGTTATGTTGCTCCAGAACTTTAAACCAAAATTAACCTTTTTTTTTGTCTCAGACAGAAAACATCACTCATAGTCTAAAAGGTTTCTGTGGGAGGCTCCTCTGTAACTGGATTTGTATCTTGAAAATTTTCAGCTAACAGATTTTTTTTGGCTTTAATCCCAGTGTCTGTCTTGTAGAGAAATGGGGAGGGATGAGAAAGAGACACAGGATCTTTGCAGAAATGTGCAGCTTCAGGAGCTGTCACCATAATTCATCTCTGAGTAAGAATTGACGGGAAGCTGTAACACGTCAGGGAAATTCTCATGAATCAAAAGAGCTGTTGTAGTGAGCTCAGGTGAGTTTTACAACACAGAGGGTGGACACCTGTCACTCTCTAAGTATAGCTTTAACAGAGGAGGATTTCACCCATGGCTACCTGTTACAATGGAGCACATGAATGTGGAAAAAAAGGATTTTCTAAATTTATTACGCTCAGTTTTTGGCCAAACTTGCTTATTTTTTGACTCTAACTTAAACTGATTTTAGAGGATAATGAACCATTGCCCAGATAGGACATCATCTTATCATGATTAGTGGAAGAGGAATAAAGATTTTAACAATTTTGATTCATTAAGATGCCTTCTGGGAATGTAATTACCAGTATGAGCAGCCATCAGACCAGACTCATTGGGATTCCTGCCGTATAGACAACGAGCAGCTTCTTCTCACTTCAGCCGGGCAGAGAGCAGACAGACAAGCTGTCAGAATCGTTATGGTCGGGACTTCATCTCGTTAATTTGGAAGATGGGAGCGAGAGTATTTGCCCTGTGGAAAACTAAACACACTCACAGGGCTTCTCACTCCATACTCCCTCCTCCTTTTCCACAGAGAAAGCAGCCAAACAGCCGTGAGCCGGGCCCACACATAGCCTGCAGTCATATCAAACCCAACAGCCCGGCTGGAGTCAATATGACCGCGGGCGAAAAAATGGTGGAGGAGCTGGTCCCCCCTCAATCTGAGACATGGCTGTGTTTGCAAACAGTGAGCAGGGAGCTCATGCAATATAAGTGAGCTCCTCACCCCTCACACACTCCAAACCTCAGCTGTTCCCTCCCACGTCTCCAGCTCTCTCAGTCTCTCTGTGTTTATCTGTAAGTTTGCGCGTGTATTTTTTATTTTATTTATTTTTCTGTTTTGTATTTTCTTAAGCCGAGGGTGATGGTGTGTTGTGTGTGTGTGTGTGTATGTATGTTTGTGTGTGTGTGTGTGTGTGTGTGCTCTGACAGCCAGGTTTGATTTGACAGCAGATGCCCCTCTTTTTCTCCTCTCTCTGCTGACCCTGCAGACCCAATATGTGGAAAAGTTTGGAGCTGTAGTGGATTGAGGCTAAAAGTAGCATACCTTTTCAGAGAACAGAGTTTGGTTGGTGATATTTGCCTTACCACTCCTGGACTTCTAATTCAACCAGTCTGTCTTTTTCTTTGTCTGTTTAAAATCATGTTTGATGTAAGTAAGCATAGAGAACCGCCCTCTTGTGCATTAATTCTTGTGTTTTGTCGCTCCCTAAGTCACAGCAGTCGTCTCAAAATGTCTAAGTCTAAAATTTTTAGTCAACATCAATACATGGTTTGGAGAGCAGTAATGGTTAGAAGTTAGTCAGGGAAGCACCCTCTGTCGCAGCTCCACGTTATGCACACACACACACACCTTTTCATAACTCAGGGAAGCAGGAAAAACACCATCAGTATCTTGGGCTTGTAAATTCCAGAGAGCAGATGACTCATGGTTGACAATGAAAAGCTCAATGAAACAAAACCTGAATAAAAAAAATAAAATACATACAGTATACAGTACGGGCCAAAAGTTTGGACACACCCTCTCATTCAAAACATTTTCTTTATTCTCATTACTATTTAAATGGTAGATTCTCAGTGAGGGCATCAAAACTATGAATGAACACATGTGGAATCATGTGCTTAAGAAAAAAGTGTGAAATAACTGAAAACATGTTTTATATTTTAGATTTCTCAAAGTAGCCACCCTTTGCTTTTTTGATAGCGCTGCAAACTTTTGCTGTTCTCTCAATGAGCTTCATGAGGTAGTCACCTGAAATGGTTTTTACTTTACGGGTGTGCCTTGTCAGGGTTACTTCTGTCATCAAGAGCAAAGGGAGGCTATTTTAAAGAAACTAGAATATAAAACATGTTTTCAACTATTTCACACTTTTTTTATAAGTACAAAAATCCACGTGTTCATTCATAGTTTTGATGCCTTCAGTGATAATCTACAATGTAAATAGTCCTTTAAAAAAATTTAGGTAAAGGTAAAGGTAGGTAAAGGTAAGGTAAAAGACATTGAATGAGGAGGTGTGTCCAAACTTTTGGCCTGTACTATCTATCTATCTATCTATCTATCTATCTATCTATCTATCTATCTATCTATCTATCTATCTATCTATCTATCTATCTATCTATCTATCTATCTATCTATCTATCTATCTATACATAGAGAGAGAGAGAGAGAGAGAGAGAGATTAGAAATTGGCGTTTAATTGTAAAATACATCTGCCATAATTTTGAAAAGGTTATCCACAGGGTCAGGCTCCCTGTTTCAATGTCTCCCTCTATGATTATTCAATTTGTCAGCTGAATATTTATGACTGAAACACACATTTCCGGAAAACCTGTGCAGATGCAAAAGCAAAAGCTCCCCACGTTGAGCTGTGCTTCAACATCTCAAAGAGAATAGGCGAACACACAGCGCTTTATTGTGGTGTGTGTGAACAGCCCTGTCAAATGTCTGTTTACCATCTCACGTTCCCAGAGGCACAAACCTCTCGACAGAGGCTACATGTTTTATTCCTGCTGAAAGACATCTTTAAAACAGCAGCATTTTGCAGGAACAATGTCAGCATTACAACCTTGGAGGACAAATTACTGTCAAAGATATAATGCAGTGCAGGAGTTCTGTATATGTGTTTTCTTTTTTTGTGGTTTGCAGAGCTGCAGCCAATGCTGTACAGTACTGGGGTAGAGTCAGGTTAGAGGTGAAGACGTTTTCCTCAGGGTGTGTAGATATTGTGTCGTATGAACATAGTTTAACTTTGGGGAAAGACTCTCAGATTCTTCAGGGTAGGTAAAAATAAACTCTCCAAATAAAGTCAAAACACTGAAAGCTTCCCCTACTTCCCCTACGCCTAGCCATGGTACATGCTAAAAAGCCTGCCTCCTCCATGTTAACAGATGGGACATGGGTCTAACTTGAAAATCAAATCACCAACAACAATAAATATTTCTCAAACATGGTCTCTGTCATTAAGTGAGCTTTTATGCTGTTTAAAGTTGAAGTGCTCTGTTTTTTGTTTTAATGAGTTCTTTGATGCTACAAAAGAGGTGAAATGTTTGCACTAATGAAGCTTCGGCACCAAAAAAAGTTCATGACAAAAAAAGTAGTCATGAACTCTATTGGCTCTATTGTTTAAGTACGTTCATTTGGAGAGATATAATCCTTAGGGATAAACAATGTTAGCAGGATGATATCAGTGTCAGCAGAGATGAGAACTTCCTATATTATCACTAGCCAAAAGTGTTGCATCAATGGCGCTATTGTGTGTTAGCTTGTCGGCTGCATTTAAGTTTTTCAGCTGAATGTCTATGTTGATGTTAAAATCATATTTTAATGGTCTTGTTTTATGTCTGGTTCTAAAGAAAATATCCTGTCACACTAAAGGTTGTTACACACCGGCCAATCGTGAAGTGACACGAAAATGTGAAATATTCAGCTTAAGCCTTTTCCTACACACATCTGGTGCGACGCAAATAAAATTAAAAATAGGCCATGGGAGAATAGAGGGAGAGAGAGAAGAAGCAGAAACAATGGCGACTACATCCTCAAGTGATGATGACCTGCTCATGGTTGTAAGCCTATTAAAAAACAAAAAGAAAGAGACAAATTGAAGAGTCTGGGTACATCCAATACTGACCCTGTGACCGGAGATGGGGGAGCTCAACACAACGATCTAGGAGCTCAAATAGTATCCTGAGAAATTCCAACAATACTTCAGAATGTCCCTTGGACAATTTCAAGAACTGCTCCATCAGCTGACTCCACGTTTGTAGAAGGAGAGAACAAATTACAGAGAGCAGATTGATCCAGAACAACAGCTTGCCACATGTCTGAGGTATATCAGGCTATAGATTTATAAAGCAGTTCACCTGTGAATGTCCACAAAATTTGCTACAGGGGCGGAAAAAATACAGTCACTTTTTCCCTCTGCATAAGTTCATAGCTGGTGTGGAAGCTTCCATTGACTTAATGAGGTTTTGAAAAAAAAAGAAAATTATTCACGTCGCAAATTTGCCGGTGTGTAATGACCTTAAGAGTAATGTGTTCACATCAGATATCCAATGATATCAAATGCTTATGAACTGTGCTGTGTGTGACTGTGTCTTTAACTTGATTTTGTGATTTTGTTGCTGTCTTGATCATGCGAATAACTGCACACCCTACAGGTTGTATACATTTACGCTCTTCCCAGTCTTACTGCCCAGTGTGTCCATGTGGACAAAACCCTTATATATATATATATATATATATATATATATATATATATATATTTTTTTTCCCAGCTTGTTTTAAAGGTGCTGTATGGTTGCAGCCTCTTATTGAAAAGTCAGTTTTTCAAAAAGTGCCATGACCTCTTCTAACACAGGATGGCTTATCAAAGCCTTTCCCTGAATGACAAAGATGAAGTGAAGAGAGTAACATGAAAATGAACTCTGGGTTTGTATTCCTGGCTCATATGGTGTCACTCCTTCAAAGCAGAGTAAACACAGTGCTTTCATAGCCAAGCATCACAAATATAGATTTCACTGTCATCTTACAATATGAAAATGATCTGTCACTGTGTCTGTAGATGGACGGCTCCTGGCTGCTTTCCAGCCTCTCGTATTTTCACACCCAAACTGACGTTATACTCCGTTGTGTCTTTGTTACCACGCCGCACCGAGCCTCTCACCGGCCACGGAAAAAAAAAAAGTCAGTCATACAGCAGCAATTGATGCGACAGGCATTTAGCGAGGCGATTTCTATGGTAACAATCCTCAGGAACATTTTCATTTCAGCATCAAATGAGTAAAAATGTAGCCGTGATAATTAGCAGTGTGTGTACAGCTTAACGTGTGTGTGGAGCTGCTTTAAAGGGCTTCAAGAAGCCTGGAGGAAAACACAGTTTGGTGTTTTACAGCATCTCGACACTCTCTCTGCTGTCACTCAGCATTACAGGCTTTTTTGCCTCTTGTATTTTTCTTTTGTAATCTAAAGCACCGTGCTTTTAAAACGACTTTGCTAATTACTTTGTTTTATCAGGCACTGGCAAAGGAATTATTTTTGTGGCCTGAAGCTACTTTTACACCTGCAACAATAGCTTTTGGAAAATCAGTTTTAGATAAAAAGCTTTTGCAGTTAATCCTGCAGGCTGGTTTATCTACATATTTTTGGGTCGCACTTTCATGTGAACCCTTAAAGATCATGAGGGCTCTGATTTAGTCAATTTGCACCTGAGGATAATCTGAAAACCAATGCAATTAGTTTTACTGTGCAAAAGCATGTATGGGTTTTATATTTAAGAAAACAAGCAGATTTTCTTTCTCTTTCAGGAAAATGTTCTTCCCCCTATTCTGACCCACACCTGTTCCTTTTCTTGCAGCCCCTACCCCTTCTTTTGCTTCTTTTACGTTTTGGACTGGAGAAACTGAGCACAGGGCAGCAAATGGTGTTTGAAAGACTGAAAAAAAAGAGGAGTGGGCTGGGGGGTTTGAGTGGCGATGGAGGGGTTTGGAATGAAAAAAATCAAAGCGAAGTCGGCAGAATACGAACTTTCAGAGGCTGCGGCACTGTTGAACTGAGCAGGCCCAAGACTTGTGAAAAGAAATGGAGACAGCCTGAATGCAAATTAAATCCCCCTCATTCCTGCAAATATTGTCTTAGCCATTAGTGCGGGCTTGACTAGAAAGGAGTGGTCCCACTCATTGTCGCTCGGCCAGGGAGAAGTCAGGGGAAGAATTCTATTCAGCAGCTGTCTTGGGGGCTCGGTGCACTTGGGCGCTTGTTTGGTACCATTCAAACGCCACAGACCGTGGCAACAAAGAGAGCTTTCAGCGTACCTCACTGTAAAAGCATGTGAAAAAGAAGAAAGGAGGAGAGGGAAGAAGGGAGGCAGGGGGGTGAAAGGGGGGAAGGCAGCACTGGAAAAGTTTAGGTGAAGGTCCTGAGAGGAACTGGGTCTGTATGTTGTTTTTTAATTGTCCGGTTTATTTTGCTAGGTGGGATGTTGGAGTGCTTAGAGCAGCTTGGCTCCACCGGTTGAGGAGATGTGGATCTTGCACATGCACGCACACATGCACAGCCTTTCAGCAGCCCTTTTTGGCCTGATGTCAAGTGGCACCCATGAGAGACAAGAAGAGCCATTTCAGCACAAAACCATCCCTGCCCTGTCTCCTCTGTAGCTGTTTGTGTATATTTATGTATTTACAGACATTTTTACAGCTGCTCTCTGCTTTGTGCATCATCTCTAGTTGCATTTTTGCTCTTAAACTTTATCATCAGGCACATCTGAAGCACTTTGCTGACCTGCGGTGGCTTTCATACTCACAGCAGACAGGTAATTCTTTAGGGCAGAACACAAAGATCTGAATAGAGAAAATTCCAGAGCCTTCTGCTGTTTCCATCAGCATCCAAACCAAACATGACCGTTCAAGAACTGATTATTTTTGTTTGAATACATGCGAGAAAGTTTGATTTGCAGCGAAGACGATGAAGACTCCAGTCAGAGAGGTCAAACTCTGCCACAGGCCTCACTCACATTTGTACACCAGAGAAGAAGACGTTGGTAGGAAATACCACACAGGTTTGTGTTTGTGTGTATAGTTGGGGTCGGGGTGTGTGCAGAAAGCAGAATAGCCCTTGGCATCCCAGATTTGTTTTGACTGGTGCGTTTACAGCTGCTGCATAGCATGGGCAAGGAAGGGCCCGGCCGAAGTAAAACAACCAATTTCTTACATCTCTTCTTCTTCTTCCCCTTCTTCCTTTCTTTCACTTCTCTCCTGTCTTTGGAGAGATGGCTCCTGGCCAGCCAGCTGTATAATCAAGCCCTTCATTTCTGCTTTATTGACAGATGCTACTTCCAGCCTTGGTTGACGGGAATACGGTTTGTTTTTCAAACCTCCTCTGGGAAAGATTGAATTCCATGGCAGGGTGATATATGCTTCAGAGGGCTTTGTTAATGTTGGACTACAGCTGCACGGTACAAGTGCTGGAATGCTTTCCTGCAATTTATCGGGAGAGAGAAACCTCAAAACTTGGACTGGAAACGTATAGAAACTAATGCAGGCTTGGCAAGAAAGAGTCTGCAGCAACTTCACAGCAGCACATACTGTAAAGAACTGTCTTATTTCCAAAGACACCAGCCTGTAAATTTGAAGTGCAGTTTGACTGTCTTCTTAATTTGCTTGGAAGGTTTTTCCGTCAAATAGATAAACCATAACCTTAGCTTCTGTTCAGTATACATTCATCTTCATTTAAGTCATGAATACTCAGGGTTTCATCCTTCCTATCATAATTTTTCCTTATTGAATTTGAAGCGCACTGTTAACAGAGGTATAGTGAGACTTCTGCACTGGTCATTTCAGTTTTTCTACCTTTTTAGATTAATATTTGACAAATTATATGTTTCACATCATATAACATCTTCAGTATGCCAAATTGGCTATTAGCTCTTTCTAGTTACCCCTGTCAATAAAGAGAAACTATAACATTGTAAATTTCACCCTGAAAGGAAATGATTAGGGCTGCCAGCGTTGGATTCAAAGATGCATGGATAGATGGATGCTTGAATGTATTAATTGAGGTATTGATGCATAATGGATGGATGAATGCATGAATGGATGGATGGGTAGATATGGAGAAACGGAACAATACATTGACATGTGGAGGCATGAATGGATGAATGATGGATGAAGGAATGCTGTATTGGATAATGAAATGCATTATGTCATGATTGCATCAATCAATGAATAGATTGATTGATGGACTGACAAATGGATGGATGGATGGTTGGATGGATGGATGGATGGATGGATGGATGGATAGGTAGATGGATGCATGGATGGTGTAATCAGTTTTGCAACTTGTTGCAGACTTGTGCAGACTTGGAGCTTTTTGCCAGCGAGTTTGTCCACTTTCATAGTTCACCCATCCATTCACTTTCTTCTGCTTATCTTGTTTTAGGTAGGAGGGGCAACAGTCCAAGCAAGCCAATCAGGACTTCCCTTTTCCAGTAAAATCTCCAGCTTCTCCTGGAGGATCCCAAAGTGTTTCCAGATCAGGTGGGATTTGCAATCATTCCAGCTAGCTCTTATATAATCCTGCATGTGCAAACTGTATAAGTGATGGAAACCAAAGTTCGCTCTCTTCTTCTTTTGCCCCTATCATGTTACAATAGCATCTCTATGTGCTGCTTTATTCCACAAGATCAATATACAGAGCCTTAACTACTGCATGTGCTCTTGAGATTTAGCTAAGGATCCCTTGCTCTCATGGACAGAGGAAGGCAGAGTGCCAACACAATCTAAGAAGGAGGAGACAGCAGGTTGGTGTCGCGGACAGATGGGACGGAGAGCCTGACATCTTTATTCTCTGGATGGTTTCTTCTATCTCCTGGTTCTTGCTGCTATCAGTGTCTTTGCAATTAGACTGTGACAATATTTCACTTGGTTCAGTCTAAGAAGTCTGATACAAGTAGATAACTCACACAGTGACAGGATGAAGCTTCACAGACAAGGAACTGATACTGTTTTCCACATGCATGAAGACTATCAGAGGCTCAGGTTTGCAATCTCTCATAGCAGCTATATTCTGCTCCTGTTTACCTTCCAGTTTCCTGATGTCATGGTGTGAGTGACGTTGGCATCCCCCAGAAACTGATATTATCTGGACTCTAGTTTCCTGAATTGTCTGAGGTACGTTGTATAATAAATATCTGTCTAGACACGTCTGTGGTTTTTAACTGCATTTCCAGGCATGAACTGCAAAACTGGATCTTATAATAGTTCTGAAAACGTCAGTAAATCCAGGTTTTTATAAGTCAGGTTAGTTTGGTTGTGTGGAGTCAAAGATGGTTGAAAATACTATCACACATATTTACCCATCTGAAATGTTGAACAGACTGATGTCTTTTTCTTTAAGTTACACAATAACTCAATGTGACACTTGCGGTCAAGCTTAATTCACAGTCTGCTGAAAAGGGATACCAAACCTTATTTTCAGATGGAGGTCTGTGGTAGTGTTAGTCAGTTTAAGGGTCCTTCATTCAACGAAGGACCCTTAAACTGTCAAAACAAAGGTTTATGTATAAAAACTCAGTTTTAGTTGGTGCTTCAGGAGGAAAATCAAAAAAAACAGGCACAGGACTGTATCAATTTCACTTGTTGGCATGGTAACTGTAGTGACTTAGTTAATATCGTGACTTCATTCTTGTAGCATAGACTTTATAATGTCATGTTTATGCTTTGTGTTCACTATTATCTCTATACCTGCACTTATTATACTTCTGTCCAACACCTAATAGCAGGCAGAGATAAATAAGTATACATCTTTCTGTAAAGATAGACTTTTTGAATGGGTGTGAAGGTAGCTAGTCGTGCTTTTGTGGCCTGCCTCTAGTGGAAACTGAAGAAACTGCACATTACTGCACTGTTGAATTTGCGTTTTGCTGGACGTTCCTCCACCTCTGGAAATTTTGATTTATATTTATCATCCATGAAGTAAGGTGGAACTTGCTTACTTCTATCTGCTTAGGGCTGTAAGATTTAAAAGAAAAAAAAATCTCAATATTCTGTGAATATAAATAAATGAATATAAATACATAAAATGAAAAATAAATACATTAAGCTCAAAAGTTATCAATTCACTGAAACACACTTGAGATGTTTGATAAGATGCACTGAATCCACAGTATTGCCCCCTGATGGTCAGGCAAGCTTATATGAGCATTTATTCAAAATATTTCCTCACAACTGGGATTGGGATGTTATTTTTAGAAAAATGAATCAAAATTGTCTGGAAAGGATCTCTAATGAGTAGGTTTGGCATGAGAGGTAAATTAAAACATCTTTGACTGTTGCACACAAGACGATAGACTGGACCTGTTTATCATGAAATACACAGTTTTTCTGTCAGTTATATGAACTCGTCATTTGCTTGTGGCCTGAGGGATTATTCCTGATACACAGGTGCTCTCACTTTCTGTTTACCTCCAAATACAGAGCATTATGTAATCCACTGGCCTGGGTCCAACACCTCTCCTTGTTATGTCACTGTGTTACTAGTTCTCAGCCATCACTCAATTTTACTACAACTGATAGGAGTTATGTTTGAAACTGTTGGTCTAAGCTTTGAGCGGAGATTACACAGGGTGGTCCTTTAACTCTGCAGACTTGACGTGACTGAGTCTGGATTTAAAACTGTAACCAAGGTTAGTACCAAAAAAGAATGAGGTGCAAGATTCCAGAAACAGATTGTTGACATCTGTGTTTTTCCACTTAGAGGGAAACTCTGCCAAAACACAGGAACACCTCGAACCCACATCCACGATCCACGGCTACTGTGGCTTTGTGTTTGCCAAAATGCAGCTGTAATTACTCTATAAATGCCAAGTTTGGAGTGGATAACTCTGCTTATATCTAAATCTGCCTTTTGTCCAGGTTTGTTGGTGGAAACATTCACACCTGGACATATAACCTGCACTATTTATCATCTCCCTCCTTCGCTGCCCTTCTCTCTTCTCTCAGGCTTGCTCGCCAGCCATTCTCCACTATTTCCCCTCCAGCAATGACAGGATTATGTCTGACATGTTTAAGGAAGTGGCTTTGGCAGGCAGTGGAGAGGAGGCAGGCAGTGAAACACACATACACGCAGCCACATTTACACATGCAGGTGCACGCACATTCCTGATGCCGGCATTGACTCCGTAACCTTGAATAGCGGGGCAGGTTTCGACGATGTGTCTGTCTGTCAAGCTGGAGCTGAAATTAATCTGTGTGTAAAGAGGACAAGAAGACGAGGCAGGGAGGCTTTAGTGTGAGCTCTGTTATCATTACAGATGTCAGGCTGGATGACAGCAGAGAGCTGATGCTGTTGGTAAACCGATAGCTGCCGCTTGATTCGAGTGGGGAATTAGCCTCACTTCATTAGAGGGAAATGTTGGGACAGGTGATATATTTATTTACTCTGCTGCTGCTCTCAGTGATTATGGCGGTTTCATATCGACAAGGCCTTTACTTGTCTCCTGTGGTGCTGCGATTGACTGCCAAGAACCTGAAAAATGACACTTAAGAGGAAGAGATGAGTAAAATACACTCCGACTTGGCTTATGCACGACCCAACTAGACCGAATCCACAGCCACCGAGCCAAATTCCTGGAAAATTACTTAATTGTGGGGTAGATTTCCAAATGATGATTTGAGGGTGAGATGGTAGAAAGGGAATCTGGTATGACTCTACTTGATTTTCTCATCAGGTGAAATCACTGAGGACTCAGGCTGCAAAGGTAGGAAGTAGAGAGGAAGTCTTCACAGGTTCCCCATGCAAAAACTTAGATGATAATTGCAGACAATCGTGTCCAAAACTAGCAAAGCTGTCTACATCCGACATCCTGTTCTTTCAGCCATGTTTTTATCCCGGGGATGGAGAACAAATGGCAGGAACTGGAGTGCCAGGACGTGCTGAGGGGCTCCTTATACCTGCTTTTAAGTCGACAAGCCTGAACACATCGCCCCCTCTGTCACCCCGGAGGTTTGCTTTTTTTCCACTGTTGATGCAGACAGGACGCTCTCTATCCCCTCGTACCCACAACCCCTCCATTCATCAAGTTTTATATGAACTCTCAGGCTGTAAATCAATGCTCCAAAGAGGGAGGAGATAAAGAGAAGAGGCAGACGTTCAAAGCAGCTCAGAGGGTCTTTGAAAATCTTGCAGCGTCACTAACAGGTGTTTGGATTCTTGCTGTTTGTATTTAATTGAGGCGTTGCTCAGATTTGGATGAAAGGGAAGGTGAACTGATATTTTTAGGCTGGAGTTGGATCGGTTGGTTTGGGCAAAGTGGAGACAGAGTCAATGTTTTCTCTGAGATACCCACCCCCATCCCCCACTGTGGAGCAGGGAGAAAACATACTAAATGTTCCCTTGGTGGTGTTTCAGGAGTTCAATCAAATAATTTCTGGGGGAAGAATTAAGCGTGAAGCTGAAGTTACCCACAGGCTTTTCTTTACTCGTTCAGGTGTCGACCGCAGAGGTGGTGAGTCCACTTGACTGTTTCCTTTAAAGTAGATATTCAGGGACTCTACAGGATGAAGCCTCATTTCTTCAGTGATTCTTAAACTTCATGTCACCATCAAACATATTGGGTCAAGCTAGGATTGGTACAGATAGCCATAAAACATTTGTGGATTCAAACAAGTGGTGAACTTGAAAAATAATCCCAGTGTCTAATTATGAATAACTGCATGTCCTTAGTGTCTAATTAAAGCCTAGTTTATACTTCTTTACTGCAGAGGTCCCCGTGAGCACTGAATATTAGCATGCAAACATCTCAGTCAGTTCTGCAGACTTCACAGTTTGCACGCCTGATAGTCAAACATCATCAATGCGTCAAAGAAAGCCAAGGAAGTAAATTAAACCTCAACAGAGGAAGAAAAAAGTCAGAAACAAATCATAAAAGTATGAAAAAATAGTCCTGATAAGATGTTCATGTTTTTGCCATTTGACATCCAACTAGTTTCTTGCTGACACATTTACTGATTGTTTTGGTATATCACGGTCAGCTGAAAGTCAGTACAACAGTAGCTAGCTAAACAAGGATGTATCTACAACGACCTGAAGGTGGAGTTGGACATGTTTTTAATAACAATGCAATAACTTGATTTTCCACAAGCTTCTGTTCCAGGAAAAGGACAGTTTTCCTCACAAGCTCAAACCACATTTTGACTTAACCATGCATGTAAGCTGGAGAGAGCAGGATTCATAGGTAAGGCCAAATAATCAGGTTAATAATGGCATTTTGAAATAGTATGCATAAGCAAATCTGCATGGCTTCTGGTCACTTGACATAATAGTGTGAAGAAATCTTCACAGGCTCTCCCTGCAGAATCTCAGTTGGTAATTGAACCTGTCCAAATTAAGCATAGCTGTGTAGGCTTTATGGTTTGTCAATTCATTTCTTATAGTCAGCATATTTACCTGCGTATCTGTTGAAATTTCATTCACTTGCCGCATGATTAGACACTCTAGGTGACAATAAGTGTTAACAGTGGTAAACACAGAACTCAGAAAATTAAAACAAAGAAGAAAAAAAAAGAATTTGGGGGAAAATTAAAGAGGGCTTCATGCAGCCTAACATTCACCATTGAAGCAGATGAGCCCTAAAGGAATAAGGACCTCTAAAGTCTGCTCTGCTTCACTATTTGTCTTTTTTGTTAGACTTTCCCTCTTTTTATACATTTTTTTTTAAACTTTAACTGACTGCATGCTCTCAAAGGTCTCTGTGTGTAGGGGTCAACCTCTTTTTATTTCATGGCCATTTTCCTTGACCTTGTCTTTCAGTTTTGATTGATTGTCCAATGGTAATAGATTGTGGTTCTGGTCAACACCGCAGCTGTCCTCTCAGTGGAGTGTGTCCTCTCGAACCGCTCACCAGTGAGGCTAAAATAAGTCTTGGTTTGTTATGCTTGTTTGAACAGAAGCTGTGGCCTCTTCATTTTGTGGTTTCCAGCAGAGCTCCCCTCTTTTTCCTCTCTCTAAATATAACCCCGAACACTACTACCTCATCTCACTCTGCTCCTGCCATTGTGAAGACTGACCAACCCAAACACAGTCATTTTTACGTTTTAATTCACTGCAAGGGGAAAAAGACCTCGGAAACTTCAACAGGACATTAGTAATTTTATTTTTTTAAAGCCAGACGCCAGTGAGCAAGTAGTGCAATTCATCATGAAAATGCTCTCCTGCCAGTTTTTGCTTAGTGCACACAAAAGTGAGCGTTGTCGAGTGTGTCAGCAGCGTGTCACTAGCTCCATTACCCAAGTCATTAACACTGAGGTGACCTTTGGAAGTGGCCAGAAACAACACATATTGTTTTATTGTAGTGCAGTTATGCAAGCCCTGCATGCATGGAAAAACCTCTAGACCCTCAAAATGTTGGAATCACGTAACAGTCTTGCATGAAAACAGGCCTTTTAAAGCAGAGAGCTAACGTGTCTTCATCAAGCAGGCTGATAACATCACACTTGAAGGTGGAGCTTCTTTACTGATCTGAGGCGCGAGCAGAGTGTAAAAAAGTGAGTGAATCAGCAGCCCCTCATCTGTTTTCCACTTACACAGAGAAATCACAGGTCTATCCATGTGTCTGCTGCTGCAGATTGAACGTGGTGAATGTGTAGTAAATGGCTGGGCCCTTAGAGGACCAAATAATGATCCCCACTCGCCCCCTTACCGGCTTGGTGTGGGAGCGCAGAGCAGGAGAAGTCTGAATGGAAAAAAAAATCTTCTGTCCAAACATCATCCTGCTGCTGTCTCAGCCGTGCACCCTCAGTGTCTGTCATCAGCTATCCACATTGTTTTTGAACAATTAGCGCTAATTTGCCATCTGGTTGAAGGAGCTTTTGTTGCATGGGGAGGGAGGTATTGTGTAGTTATCAATGGAAGGTCCACTTAGGGAGACACCAGTGGACAGAGACAAATGAGGAGACAATGCTCATTATCTTGGCTTCGCTCTGGTTCACTGTTTATCAGACTCTCAGGACAGAAGAGAATGTGTAAATTTGATGTTCAGACCAGACTGACATCATGAATATGTGATTTTTGTAAAACACCAAACCTTATGTTAGCTTCATTTGTTATTCTTAGTGGCTCTTATGGTCATAACTACAGAAAAAAAAGATGTGCAAACAGACAGATATCACCCATCTCCTTCTGCAAAAGTTACCTTCAGAATGTGTTTGCACATGCAAGTCAAGACGAATTTCTTGACTTCAGCCCACATCTGTGACTTTGGCTTTATTGGCTTTAATTTAACATTTCAACTGACAAATATAAAAGCTTCTTGTTCAAGTTAGTCGAGTTTTTTTGACAGCTATTTCAGACCTCAAAGCCACCACGTCTCCATTGGCTAAAACTTCCCCTCCAAAAATCTCCCCAAACTCCTCAGAACTGGGTCGTTCCATGTCAATTCAACCAAGAATCTCCACTCACGTCACAGATTTTGATGAAATTTGGTGGAGTGATTGGCCTTTAGGAGAAACTGTCAGAGCTCAAATATTTTTGTTCAAAGCCATCTAATTAGTGAGATAGGGGCTAATGAATTTTTGGCTAACTAGCATGACATGCGTTACAAAAGTGTTCATATCTCTGGAAGTATGACACCTAGAGAGCTGATTCGGGTGTCATTTTAAAGCTCTCTTCAATTTCACCCTGAAAATTTGTTGCTGGTTTCCCTGTGAAGTATTCCAGGCTATTTATCCTGAGCCCTTTCAACGTTTCCTTTATACTTCAAAAGTACTTTTAGCATACTTTTGAAGTACTAGTTAGTTACTAGTACTAGTTAGCCAAAAATTCATTAGCTCCTATCTCACTAATTAGATGGCTTTGAACAAAAATATTTGAGCTCTGACAGGTTCTCCTGAAGGCCAATCACTCCACCAAGTTTCCTCAAAATCTGTGACATGAGAGGAGATTCTTGGTTGAATTGACATGGAATGACCCAACTGCTGAAATTTCCATGTGAGGTTGGGGAGAGCTAAGGTGAGAACACAGTGAGGGGATGAACAGAAGAAATAACTCCATGTTTAAATCATGTTACCAGAACAAACTTGGTAATGTTAATTGTAACAGGAAAAATAACTTCTGAGGTTGGAGAAAGTGGAGCATTTTCAAGAACCTTTGTAAATAAGGATGGAGATCCAGAAACAGTTCCAGGTGAAAACCGGTTCTGACTCGTTTGAGCCATACAAATAATCTGCTTCTTTGCCTAATGATTCTCTTGTCAGTGCCTTCCACACAGGTCTCTGTGCTTTCCAAATGATGTAACACATTGCAAGAGGATGCTGGCACTAAAAGAATAAGTTGTTGAGGGAAAAACAGATGACACGATCAATCCAACTGCTGTCCTACGCATCAAAATAGTGTTGTGTTTACAATATCTGCTGAAGAAAAAAAAAAAGACATGTAATAAACCTACTTTGTGTAAAATCAACTTGCATTGTAAGACAAACAGCCTCCAGAGGATAAACTGGGTTTCTGGGAGTATTGGAAGTTGCAGCTGAGTTTTTAGATCAACTCTATCTATTTTCATGCATGTTCTTGCACTTAGTTTCACAGAGCTCTCTGGACCACTTGAGGTTCTGGTGAGGGAACATGTCGAGTAAGGAGAAGAGTTTTGGCTAAAGTTACAATCTGCACTCTGTGGCACATACAGCACACTTTTACAGGGTCATGGGGGCTCTCTGTGACAGAAAGCCCAAGAGGCTACGAAGACCACAGAAGTTGCTTCACAGAGCAACAGTCACTTCTCTCCTCGCCTTAGCTTTTCTATTTTTCTTCCCTCCCCTCCACCGTCTCACTCCTCTGTCCTCAGGGAAGCTGAGTGGTGATGTCACTGTGCCTGAAAGACCAACAAAGCACCGTTGCCTCTCTTATTTTTCCAGTTTGTTTCTCTTGCTTTGCTCCTCTGACCACCCCCTCTTCCTCCAAACCCCCTCCTCCACCCTCTCCATCTCCCTCATGGTTTTGTTGTATATTACCCCCACCACCACACTCTTCACTCCAATACATTCTGCAGCCTGACCAGGAGAAGATGAGAAGTGCTGCTTTCTGTGCAAAAATCAATAGACCTTACTCACATTTGAGTCAGGCTGCAGAGGCACCATCATCATCATCATCATCATCATCATCACTGTATTTGGCTGTACAGTATGTGCAAAGAGGAGAAGAGGAGGGGGAGATAGAGAAAGAGAGAGAGAAAAGGGGGGACCCAGGGGTGCTCTCCTGCCTGTCTAATGCATTATTGAGGAGTGCATCTCAGCCATCGGTTGCAGGTAGAGGCTGAAATAGTCTTATTAGCTGCTGCAGACTGAAGTGTGCTGGAAAACACAGCTGACCGCAGCTGAATCCAGAGTCTGTGAGGCAGAGGCTGATGTTTCTTTATGCGGGGAAGCTCAGGGAGATGTCTGCTGGGACTCCTGAAACTTGGCTTGCATTGAAATGTTGCATGTGAGTTACAGAGAAAGCTCATCCAATTCTCTTATTCAGTTATTAATTTTATGAAGAAATATACTTCTTTTTTTTTAAACAGTTTTTTCACTCTGAGAGCAGAGCTGGAAACAAATCAGAAAATAATAACCTCATTGTTGGTCTGTATGAATCCATGTTTTATGAGTGTAACAGTGGATTCAGACTCTTCTTATCTGTATGTGTTGGAGGCTGTTTTGACTGTAAGCATGGGTCCTTTTCATTGAATGCTCAATAAACATCACACCCCAAGGTTGCGCTCTTGGAAAAAAAATCATCTCTTTGGGCGATGTCAGCATGGAGATCCCACAGCATACTTCAATATTCTCACCCCCCCCCAAAAAAAAAAAAAATTAAAATAAAAACAGAAATCAAGTTGTGGGGTCTGTAAATGATGGGATGAATGCACTTTCAAAAATTTATGTCCCACAACAGGAGCACCTGATGTAGTCATCTGTGAGTGAAATATATGGATAGTGCACTGCATGTCGGCCTGTGTTTTAAAACTGTGTTAAAACTGTATCATGCTAATTAATGCTAATGGTTGAAAACAAGTGCATTTACACAGACTTAAGTCAGATGACTTCTTAGTTTTAATCATAGTTAGACAGCGTTCACATGCTCAGAAACCTGGATATTCATATCCCTACACACATAACAAATGCCTGTATGCTGGTTTCTGAATAATGCAGCTTATATGGCAAATGTTATTCTTGCTTCAACAGCTAAATCTATTTAGATTATCTTGTTTTTGCTTTATTGCTACCCTCTTTACACACATAGTATGTGTGCCCATGCTCACTACTTTAGGTCACATTTAGGCCCTCCTTACACGACGACGGCCCCGTATTGTCTTGGCGTCGCCACCAAAATGTGTATCGCTGTTTACACATCGTATTGTACATAGGCTTAGTGCATTTACATGACAACACAAAATCCACGCAAAATCCTGTACTACATACGCTCGGCCTAAAGGTGACACTGTGAAATTGCCACAAAGCACCAAAAACAGCGGATGCGCATACATACATGCTGCGCGTGTCTGACAACGTGGGTTGGGGGGTTGGGAGAAGGAGGGGTGCTATGAGGTCACCGTCTTTGCCGGACTTATGTATTTACACCAACTACGGCATGAAGACGAATACCCAGATATCCACCTGCAGACCCGTTTTCAAAAAAGATGCGGAGTCATGGACAAATACGCGTCTCCATGTGTCAATATCACCAGATCGATAGTTTATTTTACTGGTGTCTGACAAATTTGTCCTTGTGTAAAGACCACCTTAGAAAGCATCTTTCCCTGACACTCTTCTCCAATTAATCTGCTTATCAGCACATGAGGTTTTGCATGCAAAAGATCAGTTTCACAGATCCAGAAGTTAAAATGAGAAATTTTAACTCTAACTTGAGAAAGTTTTTTTTTTTTTTTTAATTTGGAGAATTTTATCAGCAGGCCATGCACGGGCTACACAAAATCTAAATTCACTGAATGGATGATATGCAATGTTGTTGACGTATTACACCCAAAAGAAAAACCCCACAGCATGAAAAATCAGAGAAACTGACCGCTGCAGAGTATGCAATATTTAAAGCCATCACTCCTTTGCAGGTAAAACTCCCAACTGTATTAATTCGGTCATTACTGAGAAATAAAACCCAGTTTCTTGGATGCCCCTGAATTAAGATGCTCTTCTTATCACCAATGTCAGTGTCCTTTTGTGGCATGCGGTGTATTTTGTGGACCCAGAAGCAGACGGCAAATTTAAAAAAAAAAAAAAAAAAAGGGTTTAATGTCCAACTCAAGGAAACAAAGCACGAGGAAAAAGTCCTGTTTGCTGGCTGGCTATTGTGTGGGCTGGAGACACTGCGGAGAAGGAGGTGAGAAGACATACAAGGGATCATGGGGAGTAAAAAGTCACAAGTAATTATCTGAGGAAGGCCAGGAGACACATCTGTACCACTTGCGAGTGAAGACAATACTCAGGCGCTGAGACTGAGGGCTGCTAGCTTCTTAAAGTGCCTTGATTGCAGATGTAGAGCAGGTGTGGAGTCTCACTCAGCCTCAGTGACCGGGGGAGGGGAGGGAGCTCTGGAAGAGAGTCAAGCCAGACCTGGCAAACAAAGAAACACAGGAAGTCCAACCAAAATAAAACAAAAGGAGGCGCCGTCTCACCACACCTTTTCTATTTCAGGTGTCAGGTGGTAATATCAGGTTTTTCAAAATGCAGAAACAACACATCTGCCTCATTTTCATTGAGAGCAACAGTAAAACATTCAAATCTCCTCACTTCTGAACTTCGTTTCTGCCACTGTGCAGGGACGAAGCAATGTGTGAAGATGTGCAGCTGTGTCTGGTAAGATCGAGTTGTCATCTATTCAAGTTTGTTCCTCTTGAAGACACTTTTGTTGCTGCTGTTGTTTTTCTTTTGTTATATCACTCGGCCAGTGCAGGTAGTCTGCAGCTGCCACCCAAACTTCTACCAGATCCCACTGAAATCAAACTTCTCATGGTCAGACTAACATACCTGGATGATATGGTTTGGGATCAATTTTCTTTGTCATGTATTTGGCTCTATCTAGCTAAAATTGATCCAAGCATTCAGTGCATGTTCCAGTGTTTGTATGTTGTGACGTAAGCTGGTGGTTGAACAGCATGAACGTGCAACTAGAAAGCCAGGTAGTAAATAAACTTTGATAGATGAAGAAATAAATTAAAAAACACAAAACTTTCCAGACAAACAGCACAGTGCTGTTAAAATGATGTCCCATTAACCACTTGCTAAATCATTTTGCTGTCTGTTTTGTTATGTAACACTTCAACCAGGAAACAACAAAGTAGCTCAATCAGTTTTCTCTACAACAGGATCTAGATTTATCCTGGTTTCTGAAGTGAGGAAATGATGTTTACATGTACGGATATAAAACTGGAATATGCGAAGTTCATGTAAACAGAATTAAAGGTGGGGTAGGCAGGATCTGAGGAAGTGCCAGTATTTGGGAGAAATCTTGAATTTAAACTCTACCCTTCCCAACCAGTTTATCCCTTAGCTCCTCCTCTCCCCTCCCTCTCAGCTGCAGCAAGCCCCGCCCACAAACAGAAGCTTGTGCTTGCCCGTATCGTTCCAGCTAAATTCAGATATAATTCAGATAAATACTTCAGATGATTACAAATGGGGCCCAGTCAATGTGAAAGTAAAAAGCATTGGTGCTACTGTAGATGCCAACAGACTACCAGCAAACACAATGTTTGCAGGACTTCTACAACTAGGATAAAGTGACATAGTCCAGGACCCGAGGTCAACAGTTTAGCTGCGCTACAATGCGCAGCAGGTCCCATTTGACAGAAACACTTCTGTTACAGACACTTGGCTTACTTTGCTAAAGCAGTTTTTAGCTCTTGTCTGGTCTACCTCCTTTTTAAATGCCCTTAATTTCACCAGAGTCTCCGGTATTTACTGTTTTCTTGCTTGTGTTGGCAGTTGTGGCCAAAGGAGGATTCAGACATTTTTCCGTACTTTCTGGTTGCTATCTACTGTCTGATGTTGTAGCACACTCATGCACGTTATTGGAGGATGTGGAGCGTGTCTCACAGCACGAGAGAGCAGTGTCCGCCTCACAACCCCAGGGCTCTCAAGTTTTGAACTAAGCTTAGTATAATAATCTCTTAAATACAACGGAGTATGAGGGCCACATTAAGAAAAAAAAAGGTTTTTAAATCTTAGAGAATAAAGTTATTATTTAAGAGAATAAGACTAAAGTCGTAAAGTTACCTGTTGTGGAGGTGAGTTGTTAAAATCAGCACTGTGGAGCATTTAGATGAATTGTACTTTAGTAGAGGTTTCTCAAACATAGAGATACTTAATCCTTTGGTACATCAGCATTACACTGTCATGAGTATCAGAACTTTAAAAAGAATATATGAGAAATGCTGCTTTTGTGGAGGGGAAAATGGCTGTACAGAGGCTAAATTCTTCAATACAGCTGTTAATAGCAATAGCATAGGGCTTTAGTTTATCACATGAGTTTATATGCCATGAGGTGTTGAGGTCTCTGCATGTGTAGATTACTGACTTACTGTAATCATCGGGTCTTTCTCGTCCTTATAAAAACCTGCTCTATTTCGGCGAGTGTCTGTCTTCTTCTGTAGTCAAACCGCAAGATATCAAAATCTACCCGGATACAACAATGCTGCTTTTTGATTGGCTGTTCAGTAGATATCCTTAATTTGATTGGCTTGCACGTGGCACGCAGCTTCTGAACTCTCGGAGGAACTCTGATTTCTACCTGTTCCATAGTTAAAGAGGTGCAACTTGGTGAACAACATGATGTTCATTTAAATGCGTGAGAAATACAATGTGTGGCGTGTGAACGGGTGGGAATGCGTGTGTCACACGCTGAATGCGTAAGACTTGAGAGCCCTGCAACCCATCACGTTGGGGGAGGCTGAGAATGGCTTTGTTTACAGTCAGAAAGAGCAGGCTGCTCAAAAAATTTAATATGTTGACTACGCAGGCATAGGAGAACACAGCGATATCATTATATGGCCAAATGTCATCAATAACTAATAGCTATTGACTGATATTAAAAGCTTTTTTGTATATATACCACAAAAAAGATGCTTTTAAATGGAATCCTGCCTACCCCAACTTTAATGCTGCTGAAATTAGAGTAAAAAACTGTGAGTAAAAATTTTACTTTAAAATTTAGAACTATATTCCTCCTGTTCTCCTTTGTGTTCAAGACAGAACAAAATATAGCAAGTATTTGACAAACACAGTTTCTCCAGCTGAGGTTAAGACACTTAAAAAAGCAAACACAGACACACTGTCTGATGTAAAGTAATCCCATGCAAAGGGTGTGTATATTTGAGTGTCTACTTGGGTGTGTGTGTGGAGGGGGAACTGACAAATCAGACCGGTTTGAACAATCCTGTCAATTTGGTTTAATTGGTTTGTGGAGTGTGTTGGAGCGTGTGGCAGTGAATGGCAATCACAGATCTGAATCCTGACATTCCTCCATAGATAATGAATAGAGCTGCATCTGTTCTTACCTGCAGGTCTGTTCTCCTCAAGGTGGGATGTGGTCCCTCTTTGTTCAAATTTGAATGTTCAGTTTTGATCAGCCATGAAGGCGAAGGTGTTGCACTGTCTTCCTCATCTACGTTGTCAGGTATACAATACAGTGACGGTTCAAAATGTTTCTGCAGCATGCCTGTCCATGGAGGAGCCTCAGTAATGTGCAGCTGATACAGGAGGGAACTGTTTCTGTCTAATTAGGCATAGCAGAGAGGGAGCTTAAACTGGGGCAAAGAGAAACCAGGCCAAACCCCATTATATTTAAAATACCTGATGCGGGGAGACGGCGATGATTGCACCAGCTACTGAGGTAGCCTCAGGATGTGCTGCTCTCACACACCTATCGCTCTATCATCCAGCTAGGTTTGGAAAGAGCCGCTTCACTGCGCTGCTTAATTACATCTCACAAGACTAACTTAATTAAATCTCCTCTGCCTTTCATATGTGACGGTAAGGTTTGAAATATGAAGATCCAGGATCAGGAAAGAGAGTATAAACATGAAAGTCTTTACTTTATTGGGATGTACAGTTTTTGAAACAGAAAAGTTAAAAATGTTGTTATGAAAAAGTTAAAATAGTTCAGCAATTCTACAATGTCATCCTCAGTATACAATATCAAATAATCTGTGGATTTTATCATCTACAGTACAAAAAATCTGTACTGAAAGGACAAGGACCAAACCACGAAGAGAATATGTGGGCCCTGCGTTTTTTTTTTTTTTATTGGTTACATTGATTACACTGTAAGATAACCAGCTGCTACTCCTGAATTGTAGAGAATTTGGATTTGATCAGATTTTATTTCAGACGTTTGAGTTAAAAAAAAAAGCAAAATGCTTATCCAAAAAATATTACACATAAACAGAAAGCTTAATGCAGTTTAAGAGTATTTTTATCGAGTTTATATGTCTGAAAAAGAGTAGGAAACATTTCACACTTGTTCAATCCCTCCTCTTTATCATGAATAACTCTTAACTATTCAGCCTCCTCAAAGATCACTTCACTAACTACCACATGAAATTTAAGCTTATCCAATTATCAAGTTTTAATAATCAAATAGGTTTGTTGATGGAATCAGACTGTTTTCAGTATGTCAGTCACCCTTTCTGTCACCTTCATAGCAGACTCAAATGTTATACAAAACCCAATTCCACTTAAGTTGGGAAATTGTGATAAATGTAAATAAAAACAGAATACAATGATTTGCAAATCATTTTCAACCTATATTCAATTGAATACACTACAAAGACAAGATATTTAAATTCAAACTCATAAACTTTTTTTTTTTTTTTAAATAATAATAAACTCAGAATTTCATGGCTGCAACACTTGCCAAAGTTGTTGGGACAGGGGCATGTTTACTACTGTGTTACATCATTTTTCCTTTTAACAACACTCAATAAACATTTGGGAACTGAGGAGACTAATTGTTGAAGCTTTGAAGGTGGAATTCTTTCCCATTCTTACTTGATGTACAGTTTCAGTTGTTCAACAGTCCGGGGTCTCCATTGTTGTATTTTACGCTTCATAATGCGCCACACATTTTCAATGGGAGACAGGTCTGGACTGCAGACAGACCAGTTGAGTACCCGCACTCTTTTACTACGAAGCCACGTTGTTGTAACACATGCAGAATGTGGCTTGGCATTGTCTTGCTAAAATAAGCAGGAAGGGCGTCCATGAAAAAGACATTGCTTGGATGGCAGCATATGTTGTTCCAAAACCTGTATGTACCTTGCAGTATTAATGTTGCCTTCACAGAATAGAATAGAATAGAATATTCCTTTATTGATCCCCCCATGGGGGAAATTCTTTTGTCACAGCAGCATCACAGACAAAGAGTGCAAAAATGCAGTTATAAAAATAAAGATCCTAATATTAAGAACTTAAATAAATGTAATAATTAAGAAAAAATTTAGAAAAAGGAAAAAGGGAGAAGAAAAAATAAAATAAAAAAAAATAAAACTATCTACAATATACACAATTTAAATGCCAGCAAAAAAGTGGTGGTGTAAATCCAGTTATTATTACAGTTCGTTGTAAAGTCTTATTGTAGAGGGGAGGAATGACCTGCGGTAGCGCTCCGTCCTGCAAGGTGGAATTCTCAGTCTGCTGCTGATGGAGCTGCTTAAGGCCCCCACAGTCTGGTGCAGTGGGTGAGAGGGATTGTCCATGATGGATACAAGCTTTGTTAACATCCTCCTCTCACCCACCTCCTCCAGGGAGTCCAAAGAACAGTCCAGGACAGAACTGGCCCTCCTGACCAGTCTGTTCAGTCTCTTCCTGTCCCTCTCAGTGCTCCCTGCCCCCCAGCAGACCACCGCATAGAAAAGTGCAGATGCTACCACAGAGTCATAGAAAGTCCTGAGCAGAGTCCTGCACACTCCAAAAGACCTCAGTCTCCTCAGCAGGTGGAGACGACTTTGGCCCTTCTTGTCTGTGTTGGTTGACCAGTCCAGTTTGTTGTTGAGGTGGACACCCAGGAATCTGTAGGACTCCACGATCTCAATGTCCAGACCCTGGATGTTCACAGGAACAGTCTGGTGTCCTCCTCCTGCGGAAATCCACAACCATCTCCTTTGTCTTACTGGCGTTGAGCTGGAGGTGGTTTGTGCCACACCAGTTGACAAAGTCAGTGATGGGGGAGGGGGAGAGCACTGTCCCCCGTGGAGCCCCCGTGCTGCAGACCACCAAGTCCGATACACAGTTCTGAAGCCAGTCCACTTCCGCCCACTCGAGCTTCCCCCTGAGCAGTGAAGGCTGGATGGTGTTGAAAGCACTGGAGAAATCAAAAAGCATGACCCTCACAGTGCTGCCGGTATTCTCCAAGTGGGCCATGGACCTCTGCAGCAGGTAGATGACTGCGTCGTCCACCCCGATGTTCGGCTGGTACGCAAACTGCAGAGGATCCAGATGAGAGCTCACCAGGAGGCGGAGGTTCCTCAGCACGATCCTCTCCAGAGACTTCATCAGGTGAGAAGTGAGGGCCACAGGTCTGAAGTGGTTGGGCTCCCTGGGGTGTGCTGTCTTGGGGACAGGAATCATGCAGGAAGTCTTCCACAGTGTTGGGACCCTCTCCAGACTCAGGCTCAAGCTGAAGATGTGCAGTAGCACCTCACAGAGCTGGTCTGCACAGTCCTTCAGGAGTCTGGAGCTGATGCCGTCAGGACCCGTGGCTTTCCTTGGCTTCATCTTCCTCAGCTCACTTCTCACCTGGTCAGCTGTTATGGAGAGGCTGGGGGTGGTGCTGGAGGGGTTGGTGGTGGATGAATGGAGGGGGGTTGATGATGCCGGTGCCATGGGACTGAGGTGGTGTGAAGAAGAAGCAGCAGATGGGTCGTTGGTTTGATGAGTCGGGGGAGGAGTGGGAGCAGAGTCAAATCTATTGAAGAACAGATTCAGCTCGTTGGCCAACTCCCTGTCTCCTGCTTCAGGTCCCCTCTCATGGCCCCTGCTATGACCTGAGATGGATTTTAGGCCTCTCCAGATCTCCCTTGCGTTGTTCTGTTGCAAAAGGTTTTCCATCTTGGTCTTGTAGCTGGCCTTTCCCTCTCTAATCTCCTTCTGCACCCTCCTCAGCTCCTTTCTTCTTACCACTCTCCCTCACTCTCCGGTCCGCTCTGACGAGGTGAAATCTGTCCAAAGTTACGAGCGGGTCCGGAGTCAGTTCGTTCAGCCATGACTCCGTGAACATCATGAGGCTGCACTCACGATACTCCCATTGCAGCCTAGTCAGCGTTGTGAGCTCTTCCATCTTGTTGGGGAGAGACCTCACGTTTCCCATGATGATGGACGGGACAGTTGATTTATAACGTCTCCGCTTTGCCCGATGCTGAACTCCAGCCCTGCATCCTTTTCTTCTCCTGCGGAGCATAGCGGGGATGTCCAGTCTCTCCCACGAAGGTGGCTGGGCTTGGCGCAGCGCCAACAGCTGTTCACGGCTGTAAACAATGGGGCCGCTGAATGGGTTGCCGGTTGCGGACTTAAAAACTCCGAAAAGGAAAAGAAAACAAAGAGCAAGAGTCATGAAATGCACATCCATGGTTGGAATATGCAAGACACAACACTGCTGAAAAAAAGAAAGACAAATAAGGTGCCAAAAAACGACAATAAGTTACTCATGCCTTGGGCACTAATGCACCCCCATACCATCACAGATGCTGGCTTTTGAACTTTGCATCGATAACAGTCCGGATGGTTCTTTTCCTCTTTGGCCCAGAGGACATGACGTCCACTATTTCCAAAAACTATTCTAAATGTGGACTCGTCAGCCCACAGAACACTTTTCCACTTTGCAGCCGTCTATCTTAGATGAGCTCGGGCCCAGAGAAGCTGGCGGCATTTCTGGATGTTGTTGACAAATGGCTTCTGCTTTGCATGGTAGAGTTTTAACTTGCACTTACAGATGTATCGATGAACTGTATTTACTAACAGTGGTTTTCTGAAGTGTTCGTGAGCCCATGTGGTGATATCCTTTCCACACTGATGTTGGTTTTTGATACAGTGCCACCTGAGGGATCGAAGGTCAAAGGCATTCAATGTTGGTTTCTGGCCGTGCTGCTTATGTGCAGTGATTTCTCCAAATTCTCTGAACCTTATGATGATATTATGGACCGTAGATGGTGAAATCCCTAAATTCCTTACAATTGTACTTAAAGAAACGTTGTTCTTAAATTGTTTGACTATTTGCTCACGCAGTTGTTTACAAAGTGGTGAACCTTGCCCCATCCTTGCTTGTGAATGACTGAGAATTTTTGCGGAAGCTGCTTTTATACTCAATCATGGCACCCACCTGTTCCCAATTAGCCTGTTCACCTGTGGGATGTTCCAAATAGGTGTTTGATTAGCATTCCTCAAATTTCTCTGTATTTTTTGCCACCTTTCCCAACTTCTTTGTCAAGTGTTGCTGCCATCAAATTCCAAAGTTAATGATTATTTGCAAAAAAACAATAAAGTTAATCAGTTTGAACATTAAATATGTTGTCTTTGTAGTGAATTCAATTGAATATGGGTTGAAAAGGATTTGCAAATCATTGTATTCCATTTTTATTTACGATTTACACATCTTCCCAACTTCAGTGGAATTGGGTTTTGTAGATTGAACAGAGAAATGATTGGTCCTGTTGCTGAGGCTCCAGGTTCTCAGTCATTTAAAACTCCTCACAGCACCTTTAAATTAGCTTGGACAAATATTTATGTAACATAAGTGAGAAGAAAGAACAAATATGTTTGCTATATGTTAGTGAACCATACAGCTGCAGTTAAAACAGGTTTTCTACGCGCTGTAACTTGACTGAACAGCATGGCCCATGCTGACGAGTCCGACTGCATTGCTGCTCACATTAGTTGGTCGTCACCAGCCTCACAGACATGTCACATTCAATTAGCCTGACAGGAAACCTCAGAGATATGCATCTGGAGCAACCGCCGTCTTCCAGCTACACTACATCATATTTTATGAATTGATTCGCTGGACCATCACAAAATCTCTTATTAACGTGTTCACACGCAGGCAGATGCACGTTTTTCTGCCTTTTTTTCCTCTCACACACAATTAAAAGTGCTGCTGCTTCACTGAACTGTTTGTCTGCATTCACAGTGAAGACTTCTCCAACACTCCTGAGTTTTTTTGCTGCAGCTTTTGTTGGTTTCCAGTGATATTGAAACCATTTTTTGATGCTTCCATACACGCTGGACTCACTGTCAATAGCTTTAATGTTTAATGCAGTCAGAGGCCTCACATTTAACATTAGAAGGAGGTTAACCTGCTAAAACCCGAGTAAGAAACCAGCAGATAACACCAGCTATATCACCACTGTGCAGTCCGAGCCAGGCGTCTTTTTTTTTCACAGTACGCTGCTCCGTGCTAAATTCCTCCACCGGTCTCGAACACTGGAGCTTACATGCAGACGAGCAGCGAGCCCCGCCCTAAGGCTGAACCCGCTGTGACCTGACAACTGGCTGCCAGGTCAAGAGAAGCTGTTCACGAGGAAATGGATAGTTGTCCTATGGCCTGCTGACCTGCAGCTCTGTTTTCACACCCTTATTTACAAAACAACCAGCTCAGCTGTACATTCCAAAAAATGTAAAGCAACAAGGAGAAACTTCCGGGAATCTGGAGAATTTCCACCAAATTTTTCAGGTGGATAAACAAGACCAGAGCTTATCACAAAAATGAAAGAAAACAAAAAAAAAAAAAATAAATAAAATAAAAACGTCTTTATCAGAGCTTCTTTAAGGAGACTTTTCTGCTGGTGAAGAAACAGACTGACCTGCAGAGGTGAACAAGACAATGCTGAAAAGATCACAGACAGTTTCTTTAAAATACTTCAAGATGCTGCAGCGCTTAAGAAAACATAGGCTGTGTCCCATTTCAGAGAACGCATTTGAAGCGTGCATGATGTCATCACGCGGCACCAACGGTGTCCCATTTGGCACGAAATGCTAAGAAATGCTAAGCGCACTTAGCATTTTTAGCTTTCATGCCGTTGGTATCCCAGAATTCTTTGCGTGCCGCTGCACAGCTGCGCATTTCGGGTGAGAGGCTGGACTCGCTTGGAGACGCAGCGCGTCTTCAAAGAAAATACAAGAAATCCAAAAACAGCAGACAGTCAGCTCAGGCTATATGAGTGCATGATCTCTGAACTCACTAAAATCTGCAAATCAAACATTATAGATTTAGAGACAACTGATCCGCTCTGCTACAACCATTAAAAAACATTAGGAATAAGAAAGCTGACAAAACTACAGCAGAGTATCAGGACAACATTGAGTTTTTTTTTCTTTTAAGATTTAGAGATTAAAGTTGTAAATTTAGGAGAATAAAGTCATAAAGTAAATAAAGTCATAAAGCTGCTTTTGTGGAGGGGGAAATGACTGAAGTTGGTCATCTGCAGGGTTATCTGTGGATGTACCAGCGGGTCATTCAGAGAGTTTTTGTGGTTTCTGAAAAAACAATCAAACTGATGATGATCAACATTTGTGATCCAGAGGGAGTCGAGCTCCGACGAGCACCACGTCTCTGACACCGGCGGTAGCCTACACCTGCAGAGACACCAACACCTTATTATGGCATATGGATTCATATCATAAACTAAAGCTCAATGTCATTCACGGATATTTACGGCTGCATAAATGAATATCTTCAGCATATTCATTTCTGCCTCCACAAAAGCAGCGATTTCCTCGAGGTCCACCTGTTTTTTTTTCCCTGTGGAAAAGACGTATTTCTCATATATTCTTTTTTAAGTCTTTATACTTACGACAATGTAATGCTGATGTGCCAAAGGATGAAGTATCTCCTTGTTTGTGAAACCTATACAGAAGCACAGTTCCTTCAAATGCTTCATGGCCCTAATTTTAACAAGTCTCCTCTGAAATAACAGAGAATTTATTCTCATAAATTAATGACTTTATTCGCGTAAATTCACAACTTCAATCTCGAAGTCTTTAAAAAAAATTTCTCAATATGGCCCTCATACTCCTTTATACAAAACAATCATTGGATTAAAAAAAAACCTCAATGTTGTCCTAATACTCTGCTGTAGTTTTGTCAGCTTTCTTATTTCTAAAGTTTTCGATTGGTGTAGCAGAGCGGATCAGTTGTCTCTAAATCTATAATGTTTGATTTACAGATTTTAGTGAGTTCAGAGATCATGCGCTCATACAGCCTGAGCTGACTGTCTGCTGTTTTTGGATTTCTTGCATTTTCTTTAAAGACGCGCTGTGTCTCCAAGTGAGTCCAGCCTCTCACCTGAAATGCGCAGCTGTGCAGTGGCACGCAAAGAATTCTGGGATACCAACGGCACGAAAGCGTGCATAAATGCACGCTCGAAAAAGGGGCGGGGGCAGTGTGGTTTTGAGACCGAATTTGAAGCGCGCTTTGTATTTTGTGCGAGACAGGACACCGTTTGTGCCACGTGATGACCTCACGCATGCTTCAAATGCGCTGTTCGACGGTCGTGCTTAAGTGCGCTTATCCCGATGCGGTCTCTGAAATGAAACACAGCCATAGACTCGCTGAAAGGTCTGAAATCAGGTAATAATAACCTGTATAAATCTCTTTAAGTCATACAGTCACAACATTGTCTAGCAAGGCATAGATCCCCCCACACCAATACAGGAGAATATTAATATGGGAGGACGATGGGAAAGAGGGGTAAAATACGATAGTTTCTGGCCAAAATGGGAAAATTGACAGCTATGCTGTAATATTTGTGAGAAATTTAAGTCTTTTATTGTCAGACAGAAAGTTCCTCACAACTTGCGCACAAAATAAACAAGTCCATTAACAGCTCATTTGCACTGAACAGATTAATGGTGCATCCAGGTCTTAAAACTGACCTGCATAAAACTGCATAACATTATGTAATGATGCTTAAGTCAAGCTGCATTAGGATTTTTCTCATTTTTTCCAAGATATACCAGAAAGTACTGATCAAACCGACTTGTTGTTTTTAGACAGACTCACTAAACCATCATTCTTTTAAATCTATTCATCTACATCATCATTTATTACCCTTTCGTCCATTCAATTTAAAAAAAATCTCATCATTCCCTTTGGTAAGCCAGATTGAAGACAGTTAGGGGGTAACAACTGAAATATAACGTCATCATTCAGAGAAATCCTGATCCTAATCCTGACCGGTCTTTAAACTGGACGGTCTGGGAGCAGTAGAGAGGTTCATCCAGCAAGGGTGGATAAAGAAGGAATATTAACTGGATATGTTAAACCAGTGTGAAAAACACAGATCACTTGAAGTTTCAGCCAAGTCACACAGAAACAAAATTATCTTAACTTTTTATGTGACAGCATTAAAAGTTTTTTTTTGAAAGATATACAGATTAAATATTTATATTTAAAGTTTGATTGAAAATTCTGAAAAATTCTGATTGAAAAGAGGATTCAATATGAGTAGACACACAGCCTGAGTGTCATAACTTCTGCTGGTAATGTTGAGAAAAGCAAACACACTAACTCCTTCAGTAGGTGGGAAACCCAGAGTTGGATGATTTAGTGATTTAAGGAGCAGGACTTGAGGTTCTCTCCGTTTCTGCATGGTGGTCTCTGGTTTGAACACTAAACAGGCCTGTGCCAAAAAAAGGGGCCATTCAATCAATCTGAGACGTCTAAATATAAATAAAGGTGTATGATGGCAGCGCTGCCTGCTGGACAGCATTCTCTGCGTGGAGGACTGTAGGGAAATAGAGCACGAAAGAGCTAGCAAAGCGTGACCTGCAGTGATTTGTACCTCTGCAGTAACTTCATTGGGACCCTCGGGGTGCCACACAATGCAGCGTATATTGGATTTGTTTACACCTCACTTGGTCTCAAAGGCCACCACGACGGGTGGTGGCAGAGGAAGGGTCAGAGCCGGGGATCATGACTCCATTTGCAGATTGAGGGCATGGAAGGAGAACTCTGCCTCTCCTTTGAATGCAGACGTGAGGTCAGGCAACTCAGATCCTGACTCTATATGCTCCTGATGGGAGGACAGGCTAATAACTGTTTTGGGATCAGAGGGAGATCAATGCCTGTCTGCAGGCAGACAGGACACACACAGAGGCTGTGGACAGGACTCAACTTGTGGATCACATTAATCCCATTGGTGCAGCTTAACTCCCAAATTGATGTCAGTCTTCCTAACCACAATCTTCATGGAAATGGAGAGGACAGAGATGGATGGGGAGGTAGTTGTTAGAAAGACAGGATGACTGCTGATATCAATGCTGCAAAACAGATCTGACAGGAACAGGTAGAAGCTAAAAATAAAAAAAAAAAGAAAAGAAAACTCTGTATAACATAATAATAATAATAATAATAATAATAATAATAATAATAATAATAATAATAATAATAATAATAATAATAAAAACCCTCTGAGTAACAATTTGCAACACAGGTTTTTTCACCCTTTTAAACTTGAGAAACATGTGCACAGCACATAATTAACAAACATCTTACACTCAATGCATTAAGGATGAGATTTTATTCAGATGCAAAATACAGTTTTGATTTTATGGTCATTGCTAAAGAGACTGTTATGAGTTTTTGATGATAAATTTTAGCATTGCATTCATTGCTTTAAGAACAAAAAAACAGCACATCAGATAAATGTGCATGTTTTATGGTGTGCATTTTATTTTGCAGCAGCACTCAAAAGATTTCAATGAATAATGTTAAAGCTCATCATCCGATTATCAAACTGTGATCAGCTGAGTCCACACAGTCTTGTAAATATTCTCCAAAGCCAAAACATTTGCCTTGTTTTCAGGGTTCCAACTTTCATTTTCACCTTAACTTTTGTGGATGTTTAACAAGCATGTGCGACTCAATCTATGTGTGTTTTCTATGATTTCACAACAGTTTCTGGAGACTTCCAGAGCTGAGCACATGGGCAGCAGCAGTCTACAGAGTAATGACGGAACTGTCTGACAATGTAAGCACTGTATAGCCGGGGTCTCAGGCTGAAGCCGTTGTGTAGTAATGGGGATCTGTGAGGGAGCGCAGGGCTGGGGAGGCAGGGAGCTGCCTGCCAGCAGAGATGCAGCTGCAGGGCTTAAGGAGCCAGAGGCCCGGCTGTACAAATGCATCAAGTAGATGTTAATTGGCAGCCCCGCTCTCTGCCACTAGTTGAACTCCCCCCTTTCCCCTCTCTGCCTCCCTTTCTCCCTCCTCCTCCTCTCCCTCTTTTTAAGAACAAATGCCACATTCCTGCCATCAGTTATCTGCTCTGCTGACAGCCTCAGTGGCCCGTGGAGGACTCCCCCCTGCAACCTGTCCACTCCAGGAGGAGGCCTGTTTACACAGCGCTGATTGGGAGCGCCCTGCACTGCCCTCATGACCTCCCCTCCTCATACACCCCCCTCTTTCTCTCCTCTCCCTCCTCTTTCTTTTTCTGCACTCTTATTCTCTCTTGGCCTCTCTGTGCTCCCCCCTCTGTGGTTCCTGCGCCCTAACAAACCTTCCCCTCTGCGGCTCTCTGAAGCACCCACAGAGGAACGGGGGGGGGGGCACTGCACTGCAGAAGCCCGGGCAGCAGAGATGTAAATCAGTCATGGTTTTTACAGACTCTCCTTAAGTGAGCCCAAAGGCCATGGTGGGTCTCAGTGGTGGCTGGCCCAGATTTGCAGCCCATTCAGACTGAAGAAGTGACTTTTGTTCTACTGTAGACACTCATCTTCAGCACTTCAAGCTGACCTGATTAACAGAGAATCAGAACCTGACTAGAGCATCATGTCATGATCTGTGTTTGGAAAAACTGAAACTTGAAACCTTTTCAGAGAGCAGATAGATGGAAAAGAAATCTGCAAAAGTCGCACCAGACAAAACTCAACTTTTGCTTTGCTTTCCTTTGCTTGGAATATTAAACTGAGGAATGTCTTAGTTCAAGTTAAGAGCAGTGTATTCAGAAATGTTGAGATTTTTCAGACTGGACAAACAAAGTGACTGATGTGATATCCCAAGAACTTGAATATTTCAGATAGAACAGAAATATGACCAGATAGAGTAGATTTTAGACATTATTAGATTTCATTATCATTTGAAAAAGGTCCATCACTCAGAATTTTTTTTCTATTCCATGAATCACCCACAGTGACAACAGACTTCAAATGAACTGCTACAGATGCTTAGAAAGAGGGCGGTCGAAGCGGAGAGGAAAAAACAGGCAGAGTGAGAGGGGAGGGGAAAAGGCAGATAAGGAGTGGAAGAGGGAGGAGAAGGAAGGAGTGAGTAAGGAGACAAAACTGTACATCAGTGTGGTTTGTGTCGAGGAGCTGGGAGCACGCCTCTGAAGACCAGGGCCCCTGAGCCTCCAGCTGTGTGAAGGTTCCTCTGCAGCTTGTCATCACGCTGGGTGGAGGCTGCACAGAGGCAGCTCGAGTCCTGCAACAGCAACCGCCCCGTAATCTGCAGACTAAACTATAGTGCAAAGAAAAGAAAACAACGAGAGAAGGGAGCAGACAGAAGCACCAACTCTTCACTGAACCTCACCTAAATTAGAGGAGTATGAAGGTGTCTGTTTTCAAAACAAAATCAATCATGTCTTAAATACTTTAACACTTTAACACAAGATCAAAATTAAACTTGGCACACACTCTGTTTTGTTGTTGGACAATGGTGCATGCTGAATGATGCTGCACAATAAAACCCTGGTGCGCAGGTGTGCCATCAACTCCTTTATAGATATTACAGGTGTGCATCATTACACCCTGGAGGCAGGCACTTTCTATTCTTTGAAGAAAAGGTGAAACTGTCAGAAAGGGGATGATAGGAAGTTCAGTTTGATACTCGTCTATAAGAGTGAACATGCTCAGACCTAACCCCAGATACAGACATACATTTCTCTCATGGATAAAAATGTTTTTCTTCACTTTGGAGCCCCTACAAAGTTATCCCCATACTCACCTAATGACATGGTACACTCTGCTTGATCTAATATCTCTCATTCTCTCTTTACTGTGACTTTGTGATCATGAGAACACAAAGAGGATAAAGAAAATGTAAAATATCTTACATCTTAGATTCCAAACCCGGAACATTTTTTTTTTGCCACACTTTGAGTTTCCGTTGTGACTGCTTTGAGATTTCTTTTATTTGTCCTTTTTGTCATTGTTGTCACCTCTTGCTCAATGGTTGTAATGTTATTCCAACACTAAACCACCAAATGAATAAATAATTTATGGTTTTATATTCCTAAATAGGTATGAACAAACACATTCAGTCTGTTTGAATCCCTGCTCCTCTCCATACCTCTCAGATCCTCCTGTAACTTTGAACTGTTTAGTTCACCATATCTAAGCTTATGTGTTGTATTTACTATGGTTGCCAAGGCAGCATTTGTTGTGCTTCCTTCATTAGTCCATCTTGCATGCTTACTCAGCCATCCTCGAGGCTCCTTCCATACAGATGGATTTCTGATCATAAATATTCAACATTTTTAATATTCATGATTTAAAGTCAAGGAGGCTCTGATCATCTGATGGATAAGAAAAATCACTCTTAACACACCTTAAACCAAAGGATAATCTGGCCCGTTAACTTTTAGGAACATCCAGTAATCTGACTTTTGATGCAAGGAGAATCAGGTCCCAAACTGTCACTTCATCTAAAATAGCCTAAATAGTCTATTTTAGATGAAGTCTTAGTCTTTGGACTAAATGCCACATTTTCCTCATTCTTTTTGCCCCTGATGGTTTCACACTTGATTTACTCTACAAAAGTTCAAAACATTTTCTGTCTTCAAACTAATTGTAATAACCAACCACACTGTAGTGTGTAAATCTACTATTTTCACACTTAAACTTGTGCAATATCAGGATTCCTCTACATTAATGGAAATTAAGTTAAGATTCTCCTTTAATGCAATGCTGCTATGCTGTCCCTGTGCAGCTCCACACAGTACTATAGAGGAATGATCCTTACAAGCTGCAACCTCCATTCAAAAAGTGAGTCAGTAAAACCCCAAAAGACACAAATATGAAGCCATCATTTAAACTTAATGAATGTTACATCCATTCAAATGGCTCTTAACACCACACCATAGTTTCAAACTCAGATTTGCATTTGAAACAAACAATATAAACTCCCCTCTCTGGTGGTGCTATAATCAGATTTCTCTGCTCAGCACCAGATTAGACGACTCTGGGTGGATCCGTTTTCCATGTAGAGGAATATTGTTGCTCATGGCATATTGTAGGTTGAATGGGGACACAAAAGGGAGGGATGGGATGGGATGGGGGGTGACCTCAGAATCAGTGACCCAGAGTGAGTCCCGAGTCCCCCCATTGGCCCTGCCCCACTCAGCCTCAAATTCCTGAGTGTCTGCTGTGCGCGGATGGCCTCCTCCACAGACAAACAGCAGGGTCCACGTTCCACTTAGAGGGCTTCTTGGAAAAAGCTCTTTTATCTCACTTAGTGAATGCTGCCCTGTGCTGGCTCTGGACCAACATATTCATATGATCATAGACACTCTGCAACATGTGGGTGACTGCAAACAGACTGAGGTTTAGGTTACTGATTCACAAAGTGTTTCTTAAGCTGTCATTTACCTCCACTGGTCTGTCATTAAACACATTTGAATGAGATCAGAGCAATTATGATTTATAGAGTTTGATGGTAAAAGGGAAGAGACAAGAAAAGAAAGCAGTTAGATGAATAATGAGACGCTGCCTTCATGTGGTTGTGCTTTTGAAAACCCATGTGAACCAGAGGGGTGTTAGCCTTATCCTGAAGCTGAAGCAACAGTATCTCTAGAGCTTGAATATTTACCTTGTGTGTAGTTTTCCCAGCGGTCACTGGCATTTCTGAAATATCATGGAATTTAGGGAGGTGTACACAAGACAGAAGATGTCAGAGAATCGGATTAAATTTGATTAATTAAAAGGGTGAGCGAGGGAATCAGTGCCAGAATTTGCACAATGCATGGTTTGACATCAGCGTCATGGTTTAAAACTAACTAATAAGCTAGATTTCTGCAACTGATTGAGCAAAAACATGAACTTATAAATCTTTTTAAAAGATTAGACCTAATGTGCATCATAATCAATTCTTTGAACATACTCAAGGGATCACTGGGTAAATCTCTAAAAGATTATAACTGGAAAGGAGTGAAAAATCCTCAGGATAAGTGTTAATGCTGTGTGTTTTGTGTGTGTGTGTGTTTTTCCCCTTTTGTCTTCTCATAGCTTCCCAGGTGAAGTCACTGAGTGCCAATCAGGCTCACCTGGTGCTGAGACTTTAAAGACCAAGAGCTGCCTGCAGTCTGCAGAGGCATTTGGTGGGGAACTGCTGCCCTGCTGCCTCTCATTTGTGTTGTGGGTTCTTGGTGTTTAGTTCATAATTTTGTTGTCTTGTCACAATAAATCACTTGTTAAACTTTTGAAGGTGTTTTGTTAACTCAATGGGTCGAAAGGTGAGGATGGTTGTTAGCCCCACAGGGCTGCCTTTGGGTGGGGTGTAGCAATAAGGAAAGAGTTTTAGTGTCAGGTGCTTTGTGGTTTTTAGTCTCTTCTGTTCTCATTTTGTAGTCCACATAGGGGTAACCTATCATGTCTCAACAAACTTTGGTTACTAGAACAACAGTCTGTTTGAAGAGCATCAATGGAAAAGCACCTCAGCAGAAACAACAGCTGTTTGTTGATTCTGTATCTGTGGACACTCATATCTCCATATAAATACTCAGTTACGGATTCTGACACTGATGTTGGACTATTTTTATTTTTTTTTATTTTAAAATGTCAGGTCGAGGATAAGCAATGACAAAAAAAAAACAGGAACTCTCACCCAGGATATCTTATATAAAAGCTTTTACCAAAGGAAATTTAGCAGCTGTCAGGTTGTATCCAATGAGTTTCCTGACAAAATCATTCTACATGCAAGTCCCCAGAGCATCAAGATTGACATGTAGGTCAGTTGGCTGAGATACTCACATTAGTCTACTTGGATTAACACTCAAACAACCAGTATTTAAATTAAAAAAACTAAATACTGTGGCTCAAGAAGTGAGTCTTGGGGAACTCCATCGCTTTCTCAGAATCATCAAGCAAGCTCTCAGAAGAGTGTTTCATGAATTAGGCAACCCACTGAATTAAAACTTTATGTAATCATGAGCGAATAAAGATCTACTAACTGCAGCATAACGGTGCAGATCCACCAGACACTTTGAAGCACATCTGGAAATTCACTATGTCCGTCAACGTGTATCACTTAAAGCACAAGAGGATGCCTGGCAGTGCAACTGTTGCCTGCAGTACCACTTTTTAATAACCCGTATCCCTTGTTAAGTCAAAATCATGCTACTTTTATGTTTTTTAAAATGATTACATAGTGTTGGTCCTCTTCAGTACAGGACAGCTCTGTTTTTTTTTTTTTTTGTGTGTGTGTGCGTTATCCTTGTGTAATTTGGTTGTCCTCCTCTGATTATTTGAGAGGGGTCTGGCTGCAGACCTCCACTGTCAGGATCCTTAATTGCAGACCTCCACTGTGAGGACCCGCTCCACTGAGAGGACCTGAGGTGACGTTTTTTCTCACGGACTACAGTTTGTTTTTGCTGCAGAGATAGTTGAGAGATGTGTAAACAAGTCCAAAAGTGCAAGATAAATGGTATAAAAGCAAAGAACAGTCAGCAGTTGGAGTGTAGATACATTATGCCATCACACATATTAAGATGTTTAAACAGAGATTTATTGATTTAAACAAATTTTGTATAAAAAAGTACTTTCAGTGTATTTGCTTTTATTTTGGAAGGCTACAAATCACCTTTCGGTCTGCTCAGTGGAGGTGGGTTCTGACAGTGGAGGTCTGCAGTCAGACTGTCTTGGATTATTTTGTGGTTGCATGCCTGTCTTACCTCTTGTAAAGACTTATTCTGGTATTTGTTTCCCACAGTTATTCTGTTATTCCTCTTGACTAAGTATTTCCTGTTCTATTTTATGAGTTTTCACTGAAAATATCACATCTACATGAGCTTCCTGTGTTTTCCCTCTAGTTTGATTGGTGTCTTAGTCTCACACCTGTATTTGATTACCCTATGTGTATTTAGTCTGGGTATTCAGCCTCCTGTCAACAGCAACATGTCCACCTGTGATGCAAACTTTTGCAAAACACTAGACCTAAACCTTATTAAAATAGACATGTTGTTAAAAGAATAGCTACAACTGTTACAGATGCGGTAATAAGCTGTCAATACAAAACCATTTTTATAAACCTGGGGCCTATTCTACAAAGCAGGATTACTGCTTAGCAAGGTAATTTAGAGGGTAGGTTTGGGGTTTCCTGTTCCACGACGCAAGTTCACTACTTAGCGAGGCGAGTCTCCATGGCTTCGTACACTGAACGGCTATCCTGCTCCGGGACAGGTTCGGTTCCAGATTGAACTCACTGAGTATAAAAACCCCTCCCACTGACCAGTGAGCTCTCTCGAAAAATGGCTTGTCCATTCTTGGATGATCCTATAGACCTCAGTGCTTGCATTGTCCGAGGAGCACTCCGGCGCACAAGAGTTTTCAGGGACCGCACAGACCCACTTACTTTTCTGGATGACCACCTTTATGAAAGGCTCATATGGCCTACATATCACACAAAAAATGTAAACACGATTGGAATGAACAAATGAATTAATTCATCTTGGAAATGAATCAGACATGTCTGGTGCATGTTAAAAGTGCATGTTGAACAGTGCTATTTCAGGGTGATGATGGCATCAAAGATTTTTTGTGCACTACACTTACGCATTGAGACTGGTTGATAACCAGCGTCGTAAGACCGTTTAGCGAGACCGCTGGCTACCGTGCTAAGTTGAGCGAGGTAGCTCCAAGGCTACGTCGCTAGGTTGAACTTGCTTCGTAGAATAGGCCCCAGGTTGTAAACATGTTTAATTAAGCTGTGAAAACAGATATTCGAACACGGCCACAGTTGGTTATCTTGGCTTCTAAAACAAACTGAACGTGAGTACTTGAGGAACTGTTGTTGTTACCACTTCTTGGTGAAGATCGATCGATTAAAAGATAAGATCAAGCAAAACCAATTCCTGCATGTATCCTTATTTGCTCCTGCAAAATATTTCTGACAAACTCACACAGACTAAGACAAAAGTGGAATGGAAGCGATTCATCCTTGAGAAGAGAGGACACACTGGTGTCATGGTGTGAAATGCTGGGAATAAAAAGGCATGTGATTGGGGATCAGGGCTCTGTCTCTGGCCTGTTGTTGTCTGGGTAATGTTAAGGGGTCAGAGGGAGATAAAGCTCTGACTGACAGTAAGGACAGGCCTGGTGTTGGAGGGGTCAGAGGTTGGGGCTCCGTTGAACCACCCAGATTTATGGCTCTTTGGACCGCTGGGTCAGGAACTCTGCATTGTTCTGGGATGTGATCATTTCCATAACACTGTGTGTGTGTGTGTGTGTGTGTGTGTGTGTGTGTGTGTGTGTGTGTGTGTGTGTGTGTGTGTGTGTGTGCTGCAGTGTCCATGTTAGGGGGAAAGACGCTGCTCTTTCTGCACGGTGAGTGGAATCCTTAAGGAGATCTGGATGGCTGTGTATGTGTGGCAGGAAAAAGGCTGGTGTGTGTGTGTGTGTGTGTGTGTGTGTGTGTGTGTGTGTGTGTGTGTGTGTGTGTGCTTGAGACAGAGATGTGGAGTCTGGAAATAGCAGCGAAGAGGCTTGCTCTGCTGTTTGCCTTAGCAAGTTTGATTTGACATCCTAATTGCCACATGGAGGAACAAAATACTCTGAGGTTCCCCAAATTGAAGTCGATGTTGAACCAAGCGGGCTATGTTTAGCGGCCTGGGCTATCTGTGGAGGGCCTACTTTTACTGTCGCTCGTCTTCCTCCTCTATGCCTGTCTCTCTGTATTTTTTCCTTCTCTTCCTCTGTGTGTCTTCCTGAAGGAGGAAGACAGAAACAGAGGAGAGAAGATTGACTGGAGGGTGCGAGCACAAGAGGAAAGTCTGTAGAAAGTGAGTTAAAGATAGAGGACGAGCAGCAGAAGCAAATTGGGAGATCACTGCTTTTTGTGCACCCCTCCAGTGAAACTCCCCAGCTAGACCCAGCACACATGCATGCACACACACACTGACACACTTTTCTCTCCGTCTCCTCCTCTATCCATCCCCTTATCTCCCTCTCCTTGCTTTCTGTCTCAGCACAGCCTCTAGCAGCTGCAGTAGGCAGCCCAGGCAGGTAGCTGACAGGCAAACTGAAGCCTGGCAGACTGGAATAATTACATGTGGCTGTCTGCGTGGAACATGACAGCTCTACCTTCAATTAAGCCCCCACAATGCATTTCATCACCCACTGAGACTCCCCCAGCCTTGCCCACCAGACCGCCAGCCCACCATTCACCTCGGCAGGGCACAGAGCTGCAGCACGGAGTGGAATAAGCATCAGAATCAGCATTGGCCTCCCTCCGATTTAGACTATTAATGAGCACTGAACACAGGTCTTTCCATGCCATTGAGAAGGTGAAGGGGGAATCAAAGTGGATGGAAACTACACGTGGAGTAACAAACCAAAATACTAACAATTAACCTCTGAGCCCAGCTTGACGCCCCCCCCCCCCCCCCCATCACCACCACCACCACCACCACCAAAACTGAGCCATCAAAGGGTGACATGGCTGTGATGCTGATGAGAGGTAACAACAGAAGCAAAACGTTAGGGCAGGAGTCGCTGCTCACTAATAGAGTGCCCAAAAAGGAGAGAAGGTACTGATGAAAAAAGTGGTGGTGTGAGGAATTGGGATGTAATTTTAATCAGTTTTCCCAAGTAGGAAATAAAGTAATAAGAAAAACAGCCTGCCTGCATGAAAACACACCGGCAGTCGACATCAGCTCTCTGGTCCCTTCCCTTAAAAAGTGTAAGAGGTTAATTATGAATCTGACCTCTACATTCCAGTCATATTTGCAGACGAGACGCGCAGATCCTGGGGAGTTTTTACCTAAAAAAAAAAAAAAAAACACCAAGTAAAACATCGCTTACATTTAGCAAATCTTAATTTACATTTAGAGTGATTACTTTTACTCCTCTAAGCAGTCTGAAGAAGTGTCCTTCACATGCCTCTGCAATAAACTCCCAAATGAAAATATAAAATCATAGGGAAACTGACAGCTTTGGTTCACTGTAGCAATAAGCATTATTGGATGTTATTGATAAGATCCCAAAATACAGAGCCTCAAATAAGTGAAGATGGGGGAGTGTTTCAGATACAAAAAGTGGAATGGTTGTGGAACTGTTGGATGTACCAGTACCTATAATTCTTGTCTTTAAAAAAAAAGAAAAGGAAATGTCTTGCAGCCAATTAACATGCTGCTATACAGTGGGTTCAACTAGACCTTCACACTGGTTAACATCATAAAAAAAATGAAAGATGAAGAAGCAGCAGCTGCTCACAAACTAGCTGTAGCATCCCACCAAGAGTCAAGCATTTTCAAAGAGTCACTGTGAATCCAAAAATGACTTTATTATTTCTTCCTTATCTTACTTTTCTCACTTAAAAAACTTAGTGTGATGTTCTACTTTCACATTTTTCATTGATATCTCAATTAGTCACTATTATTAACCCATTAAGACCTGAACCCTGTCTGAGACATGCCTCTGAAGTCCTGAGGGCTATTTTGAGAAGGACCCCCAGATCCTGAGGTTTTCTGAAGTGCTGAGGTTTAAAAGCTGATATCTCAGCCTCTGTAGCAGATAGAAACAAAATTAAAAAAATATTTGAGAGCTAACACATGTGGCTTTTAAGAAAACTATCTTATATTTTTCCAGACCTTCATCACATTATTGAAAACCTTGAACAAACAAACTCAAATGAAATAAAGCGGCTGTATAAATAAAAGTAAAGGCTCTGCACTGGAGAATAACAAATAACTTGCTTTCTGTAAAACAAGTGGCAGTCATGATAAAGTGTCCATTCAATACAAATGTAAATATAAAAAATAAAGTGTTGAAAGGGTAAGCAGCTGCCTTAGTATAGTGCCAGTACAAAAGAAGCACTAAAAACTAAAAATGAATAAATAAATAACTAAGTGGCTGAGTGTGCATTTCTGTGCTCAGGCAAAGACATGCAACACTCACGGAAAACGCCAATAGTGTGAGGTAAAGCACTCAATATGAAGAGGTTGTTCACACTGCGGGATGTTTATTCTCCGAAGCTGCTCTCTGCCTGCATCATTGTTTACTTAACTCATGAAGCACGTAGCAAGATCCAAGCATAATTCCAATCGCTTAAGCTTTATTAGCCTATCAGAGGCAGACAGGTATGATGATTTGATTCGCCACAACTCCAGAAATGATTGAAAAACTACAGAATATTACAAAATGACGTATCCGCGTTCCCAGCTTGAAGGTCGAGGCGTATACGCTTCTCCTGGCTTGAAGAGTTCAAATACCTACATGCACTCGGAGTAGAAATGCACAGCCGCGCTCTTGGCTTGGAAGGTTGAAATGCACACATGCTGTCCCGGTTTAAATGGGTTAATGTGATGTTATAGGGCCATGATAATTGTGAGGTGAAAATATTATGACAGCCCTACCTGGAAGTACTGCAAAGCTTACCAGAATATCAGAGAAATGAATGGCTCCCTTTGATAATGAAACTACAAGTTCAGTCAAATTTTACATGATAGAATATCATTCTATGTATATAGAATGTACGCTGTCCATTATATATACAGTCTATAGAACCGATAAATTCCCTAGCAGAGACCTCCAAATTTAAAAAATATAGCTGATGCTAAAGTGCAAAAAATGCAGCACCTCAAGTGTCCACAAGATGTGGGATTCAAAAGCCCCGGAAGCCACCTACACACCTATTTAAAAAAGCCATTCTTCACAGTGAAATAAATCCGGTTTACAGCCTGTTCCAATTTTGACCTGAATATCTCATTCCTCCATCATCAACAGTTTGGAAGATATGTAGGTTAGGGGTTTTTTGCCTATAAAGGTGCACAGCTGATTTGGCTGACAGGTAGGCCTACTGTAGCTGTTGCCAAGGTGACTACAGGGCAGCCTAAACTCCACCTCTTAGCTTCAGTTAAACCAAAAGTCCAGCGTAGCTTTAAAAAATGCTTCAAATACAAATGCGTTAGGTCACTAAAGCTGCATCCATACTATATGATGTATGTTACTTACACAGTATTACCAAATGCTTTATAACCATATTTTTATTTAAGATAGATGATTGTGGTCATTGTGACAAATTGCAAATGACCCACTGCACTGCTGAGGTGAACCAAGACTTTTTTTTGAACAAAATTGTCTCATTTATGTTGAAACAGAGCAACTATTTTGGAGGGTTCCCTGCTGAAAAATAAGTGTAAGAACTGCTTGTTAAACCTGGCAAAGAGGGGAAAAAAGAGAGAAAAAACACAAAGGCATCAGAGCTACGGCGTGTGTCGGCCCTGGATTAGAATGCATGAGCCTGGCCTTCTGAGACCAGCTCTGCAGTATAGATTGAGCAGCGAGGTCAGGAAGGTGTGAATTAATGGTACAAATAATCAGCAGGTTTACCGAGGCAGCCCTTGACAGGCTCCCTCCCCTGCTGGGTAACCCCAGCCGCCCTCCTGGCTTACTCCAGGCTCCCATGGCAGCTGGGGTAAACGTGTGTAAATACGGTTTGCTTTTGTGCACTAACACATGCATGGATGCGCACGTGCACAAACACACCAAGGACTCATAAAAACTTACAAACACACAGTAGGTTTGTGCACAAAGCTTAAACCCGCACACACATAATGCAAGACTGAGAGAAGGACTGACAAAACTGCCTCAGGTAAAATGAATTGAATCCAATGAGATGTATTGGGAGGATAGATATGTAAAGAACTGCTGCTGACAGCTGCTATTGCTCCTTCGGTGCCTGGTGCCAAATGACAGGCCTGTGGAAAAAGGTGTGTTTGATAATACAGCCACTACAATCAACCAGATCCTTACGACCTCCGCTCTATTTATATTTCCGTTTTTGCGTTATTGTCTGCGCTGATCTGGAGTCAAAGCATCTCAGGCTGTTTTTCAAGCTTGTGTGTGAAATGCACTTTGTTTTCTTTTTGTGTTGCCACACATTTCTGTCTTAAAAATAGCATATGAACAACTTTTGGCACATTCAAATAACACAATCAGACATGCACAAAAACACAAATCTCACTTCCTTCCTCCTCCTCCTCCTCCTCCTCCTCCTCCTCCTTCTTCTTCTTCTTCTTCTTCTCCTCCTCCTCTTCAGATGAATATGCAGGCAGGAGTGGGTGAAGGGGCTTTTTGCAGCTCAGTTGGGCTAACATGTTGCATTGGGCTCCTTGAGTGTGGAGGACAATGACTGGGTCCACAGTGCCCCTATTAAAGCAGCAGCCTCCAGGCTAGCGGATTAGCCTGAATAGACTGTGCTCCCCAGGTACAGGATTTGGTTTACATTAGCCGGCTTTGCCCTTGGCTGCTGCTGCTGCTGCTAACTCCTGTTCAGGTCACTTAGCTCTGGCTCACCACGCAGGACACCTTTTTATTTTGCCAGCATAATTAGAAGAGCTTAATTGACATTATTTCTGTGGCACAAACATGTTTGCTGTTGTTTGAGAAAGGACTGTCTATGCAATTGTTGAAGCTCAGAGGGAGAGCTGCTGCGAGAGAAGAAAACGTCTCACTTTCCAACAATCTCGTGTGCATGACAGTGAGAGGGCTCGTAGCTCGGGGCAATGGGACCACTTTAAATTTTAAACACAATTTCAGCTTTGCCTCATTTCAATGCAGTACGGCTGGAGGTGGAATCAGAATGCATAAAATTGACTGCATGAAAAGATAATGTATAATAAATGTATTCTGCGTCAGGCGCCGGTGGATCGAATCATTGATTAATACTAGTTCCTGCTGCTGCTAAACATCCTTGTTTCATACATATTTCATCACGGCTCTGACACAGCTTGGGTCTGCTGTCCTGGGACTGTGACAGATGTCCATTAGCTGGACTCAGGACCAGCAGAGGGGAGGTCCTGGTAACCTGTGCCACCCTGGATGTGGTGTCCCCATCTGGCTGGCTGTGAGGTGACCGGGTGGTCTTTCTTGAAGATTATTTCTCCTGTGCCGAATCTGACTAAGGAACTCTTTGTGTCACAGCTACCTACATGAGCCTGATATATTTCTTTACCTTCTTTTTCTCTCCTTATTTTCTTCTCAGCTAAACAGAAAGGTCAAAGGTTAGACAGAGTAGAGTTGACAGGTTTCTCCAGAGCCCCCAGAAGAAGACTTTAAAAACTATGTCCTCATATGACATTTTACAAGAACTCACTGAAGTTTGGTCCTGATAGATTTATCATAAAAAGGGAACTTCTAAAGGAACTTGAAAGCAAGTCACGAGTCTTAACAAATCAAGCTTTGATTTGAAACCGGCTCTTGATACCCAAGCCTGCTACTGATCTGATCATGAGCGTTTACTCTTCAAACTATTCACCAACCAGAATTTGCCACGGCTTCTTGTTAAACAATCGTTCCTCTTGATGGAGTCTGTTTGACATAGTCATTTTACAGTTGATATTCTTCACTGAATATTGTAATATTAAAAAAAGTTATTTGCACCCACGATAAAGGAGTCTCTCCTTACTGAACTGACTTCAGGTTTGCACATCAAACCCTTGAGTCAAGGCCGTAACAAAATAAACAAAAGCTTCAGGTTAGTTTGTTCGTGTTTGACCTCCAATAATGAAATAAGATTTCACAGCTGAGGTCCTGATTGGTGGGATTCCTCATGGGAAAGGACTTACCATGGTGGTCCTGACACTGAGGGCAATGAGTGAATAACAACACAGCCTGCAAACATAAATATCCTGAATTCATAGACTCCTGAGGGACCTTATGTAGTCTGCATGAGGAGCCCACTACCACTCCACCACCCACTTTACCATCAACCATCACAGGAACCGCCCAACTTTAACATTTCATTCTGTTGGAGATGTTTCATAGTCATCCAAACTCGATCATAGTTTTTATTTTCTGTTTTGATGCTGCCTACCAACAAGGAACTGGATCAACCAGTCATTCAGTTTGACAGTCAGAGCTGCCCATAAGCTGCAGTAACTTATGATTAGCTGTAGCATCCAAACCCTGCTTGGATCCACACAGACGTTAATGGGCACCTTCACAGAGCTATAATTTTAGTCTTAGTTGAAATGCTGTCATTCAAACGCTGGGATTGAAGGTTTCACACACTTCTATGAACACAACCTGCCAGTTTGACTGTCTGCTCTTATGCATACGTCTATTTCCAAGGTGCACACAAGTATAACCTGTGCATCACTGTAAAAATAAATGTCATCCCAGGAAACTGTGAAAAACATGAAAAATGTGTAAACTTTACTTTTTTTTTTCATGGAGAATGCTTTACGTTAGAAAAACAATGTTGTACATTTGATGATCTTTGTAATATTCTCAGTTCAAAGAGATGCTTGAGACACATGTATTCCCTCTCAGTGCTTTTTACAGCATGAATGTGATTTGTCAGGTGAAGACGAGGAAAAAATGAGGCCAGCATATGGGCCTCCAGTGTGTGTGTGAGAGAGGAAGAGGGAGTTTTTTCTCTCTTTATTTTGGGGAACTAGAGCGTCATCTTAGCACTTCGCTATTCCCCACTAATCAGGTGCTGCCAACCTGCCAGCCAAGGCGGGACGCGAGGCCTTTCAAAACACTCTGCTAATTAACAAGCCCCCAATGCATCCCCTCCGCTTTTACAGTGCTAGCACATCTGCCATAGAAACCCCGGAGAAGAAAAACTACATTATCGTCAGCCTGAGTGGATCCCTTCACTTTGCACACAGCCATGAATAGATGTGTGTGTTGTGTTGTGTGTATGCGTGTCAATTGCAAAGGTGCGCACAAAGTTCTTCTCACAATCTCCCAATTTTTTTTCTTCCTGAAAGTGTCGTCTTTGCATCGCAGCGCTCGCTTGTGTAGACATTGGCAAGGCGTCCCGCATCTATCAGGCAGCTGAAAAGCATGAATAGCGTTCCCAGCGTCTTAATGACTGTTTACACGTCCCCTGTGCAGATTAAAAGATGTTTCTGGTGTTGCCTGGGGTCCTGCTGAAACACATCTTTGACAAGCCTTTTGCATGATAAACTTCAAAAGTGTTTTTATTTTCCTCTCAGTTAGGTTGCTTTTTAAGTCTCACTGCACCTGAAATAAACTGAAATTCATGCAAAAATAGAGAGGTGGTTTCATAGAGTAAAAGGACACAGGCAGGGTGATATTTGGAGGCTATTGTCAACTATGTTTGTTGTATTATCCACAAATCACAATTATAGTGTGTAACCTAAGGTGTTCTTTTTGTTACTATGAGAGTTCTTACCTGGCACACCTGATTTTTTTTTTTCAAATAAGATAATAAATAGCACGTGGAGTAGAGCAATGAGTGGTGCAATGTTAGATCCTATTTTCTGCTCTGGCCTCATTTTTTCATGCTTTGTCTCGAGGACTGAAAGTTAATCTGGCTGAACCTTTTTGTGTTACTGGAGTTTCAGGGAGTAAGGATCTGATTTGAATTTGATTTGAAGCGCTGAGTTTTTGCAGCGCAGGCATCAACTTGAAATTAAAAAAAAGAGAAAATAATTGTAAAATTTATTTTGGTTAGAATTTTCCTAGTTCAAAGCAATTGTAAACTGCAGTAAACAATGTGATTTTCATTCAAGTGCAGTAAATTTCATTGGCTAACTGCGTGCACTAAGTGGGCTTGGGGTTGAAAACAGCAGAGAGAAATTATAGTCAAGCACAGTTTACAAAAACCACCATCAAGAGGAAAAATACTGTGAAGCTTTCTTTGAAACTCTCTTTCCTTCCACCGGAAGAGATCAACCAACAGCTTTAAGTCCATATCAACAATGAAAAGCACACTCTGCTACTGTCTTGATTTAGTAATCAGATAAACTTGATAAAAAGTTCTTAATGACCTAAACTTTTAGATTTATTATTCAAATAAAAGCTGCATTGCTGCATCAGTATGATCCCTATGTAGAGAAAATAGACAGTTTCAGGATATCTTTACCATACTTAAAGAAATATGCAGCAGTAAATGCATGTACAGAATGGCAAACCAGAGTCACTCTATTGTGCAGGAACTCTGATCTGAATTTAATAACTCACTGACGTCCAGGGGCTTCCTGGTTAACGCAACAGCATTTGCACATCACAGGGGTTTCAGTTTGGTTGCCTTCTCTGTTTTACACAGGTCCTGTTTGTGTGAAATTGTGAAATGTTTTCTGCAGCCAGTTTTGCCTGAGTGAAATGTTCTTTTAATGAGTTTTATCTCAGGGTCTGAGATGATTGGCACTCTCAAGTATCCCTCAGTCAGCTTTTGTATTGTAGTTGTTCGCTGACATCAATCAGCACTTGTATGCTTAGCTTGTAAACTCAAAGTAATTCAGTGATATCTTGATCATCTTTTACCTAAACTGAACTGTAAGAGAGATTTGTAAAATAAAACATTGTGTGCAAAAGTGCACTGGTTTTCATTGTCAACTTACCTATGGTGTGTCAACAGGGACAAAAAAGGGAACATGATTTAAAAGAAAAAAAAAAGGTTAACTATGGACTTGACTGCATAAATAATGTGTTAAGACTGAGAACCCTAATGAAAACAAGTCATTATTTTTTTTCCAATTACAGGGCTGTAACTATCATTGAAATATCTTATTGATTTATTACAGAGACTTAATGCAATAGGATGTACTTTAATCTGAAAAACCAAAACAGCAAGAGGAGTCAGTCCAAAGGTTTAACCCACTATTTTCATGCCTTCTGTTTAAGGTACTGATAAGGTTCTCTTTCTGCAGATATATGCTCTTTTAATCTCAACTAGAGTCTTCACTCCCTTAAAATACAGTTTGATATAACATATGATAATAACATGATACAGTACTGTTAAACTTCCCGTGACAAAAAAAAGATACTCTGTTATTTATGATGAAAGCATGAGGGGTTGAATAAGCATTAGCTGCAAAATAATACAAATATATGCTTATACCCTCCTGAGCTGCTGAGAGGCGGGGAAGCTTTTGACCAGAGTTTAAAGCCCCATTTTATGATTGAAATATTGACCTAAATCAAAACCTGGTGATGGAGTGGATTCATTCTCAGACAGGCAGAAACAACTTTCATCAAGTCGAATCAACACTTCTCATGTTTAATGTGGAAAGAAAAAATCTGTTTCATGATGGAGGTAAATTTACACAGGATGTCGCTCATTGACCCCCACCCCATAAAATCACACAAAGCAGCCACAGTGACCTTGTTTACTTTGGAGAAGTCTGCAGGCTCTGAAGGATCCATACATTCACAGCCATCCTGGAGTTATGAGTTTTTCCAGGCCTGGAATCCCATTTTTTTATGTTTCCACAGAGCAAAGAGCCGGCTGTGGCCTGGGAGATCCCTTCAGCTCATTTCCTCTCTGACAGAAAAGCCACACCAGGCTCCCTCTCTGCCTCTGATGGAGTCTCATGCTAATTTACTGCTACTCAACATTTGCACCCCCGCCGTCCCCATCACTTCATGAGATTGTCAGCGAGCTGTTCCAAAGCCCTGGAATTTAGGAAAAGTGTGCTTTTGGATTTAAATGCAACTTCCTATCTGACTTCACATTGAGCAGACTGTTTTGGCAGTTTTATAATTCAATGTTAAAGTTTAATATCGTTGATTGAAGAAAAGAGATGCAAAATCCTTAAAACATGTGCAAAAACATTTAAAAGTTACAGCAGTTTCTTGATCAACAGTATTTACATGCTGCACTTTGTAACTGGATTTTATACAAAAGCTAGTGAGAGAGAAACAAGAAAAATTACACAGCTCCCACACCTTTCAAACACGAGCCAAAAAGACTGTCCAAACTACTGTTGTCTGCAAACAGTGTCTTTGTTTGCATGGATATCCGAGCCATCGTGCATTCATTTGGATAGAAACATGCCTCAAATACACCCCATTACAAAACAAAAAGAAAAAAAGTAACACTGCACTACGTCACCCAAATACTATCTGATAGATGATATTGATCTGATAATGATAGATTAAATGTCTCCTCTGTTTTAAAAAATGAGTAACAAAACAAAAAACTAAAAAAATACCTCTGCTATCTTGGCAATCCAACTTGAACAAAAATAGCTCTCACAAACTTACAAAAACTTACTAACAAAAAATATTTATATCCTCAGTTTTCTTCTTCATCTCAGTGGCTTGATCTAGTGGCCCAATGAAAAACAATGAAAACCAGGACGTTTTCACCACTATTTAAACAACACCCAGGACTGCCAGGACAGGGCGTTTGGTCACTCAGTGGTTAAATCAGTCTAGCTGTCTGTGGCTTAACCTTTAGCACATACAGGCTTTGCCCCCATGCACATTGGAGGGTTTTCTTAAATCAAAATGAGAAATATCTGGAAAGCATGTAATGCTGTCAGGATGAGAGCTCACTTCAGAGTGTAGTGCAGCAGAGAGTGGAGATGCTCGCAGCTCATCTCCATGACAAAAAAAATAAATAAATAAATAAAAAAAATACTCACAATGCATTGAATATTGAATATCATAAGCACTAACTGTTTAGTGAATAAGACCTTGAGATCCTTGTTGCAATTTGGTGCTGCAATCCAATCTCAGGGAATCAAGCCCTCATTTTTAAAAAGATATTGTTTTTTTGGAACTAAGTAGAGATGACATTTATTCATGTTCAGTTCATCAACTGAAGGGCAGAGTGAATTTGTATGTTGATATTGTGACCATGAGCAGAGTTCCCTTTTTATCTGCACAAATACTCAGCACACCTGTAAATGTTCGTAGCCACAGACTGTATAAAGCCTGTTTATGTAAATGGGGTAAACTCAAGCTATAAAAATGAGCATTTTATTTAACAGCTCTAAAATCAGAGGCTGCCTATCACTCAGATTTTGTGTCCAAGGTGCAGAACAGCCACCAGCCTCTAGTTGGCTCAGGTTAATGCAATAATGATCCACTGATACAGAAAACAGATGAGACAGGACACTTCTGAAAGTTTGTTAGTAGTTTGGTCTAGAAAACGGAGCAAAAGTATTAACTCTGCTGTATCTGTTTAACTCAATATGTCACCAGCTCAGACACAAATTGCTCGCCAGATCTCTCTGTATGTCTCTGAGCCCCAGTCTCCTAGGTTGCTCTGGACTGATGGCTGCTGCAGACCTGCCAGACTCCAGCCACATCGTCTATGATTTTCCGCCTCAGGCCCTGAGCTCTTTGGGTTCCTCTGGACTGTTACTGCAGACATGAACATCAGCCTCACTGACATTATAAACATAACACTAGAGTTGACTACTATTAGGCCTGCTGACTGTAATCACATTTAATTAATTTAACATTGTCCATAATTACTCATATCCTAACCGTGTAAACTGAATTCATTTTGTTTCACCATTACATGAGCTGTTGTTGTTGTTGCTGTTGTTGCTGCTGTCCCCTGTGTGTCTCTCACCCTCGTTCTCTGCTCTCTCTCTCTCTCCCTCCCCCTCCCTTACTCATTCTCTCTCTCCTTCCCCTTATCTTGTTCTTTCTCTCCCCCTGCCCTCTCCCCTCTTCTCTCTCTCTCTCCCTTTGTCTCTCTACATTCCTCCCCAACCCAGCAGTGGCATGGTGGCTGTCTGGCATGAGTCTGGTCCTGCTCAAGGTTTCTGCCTGTTAAAAGGAAGTTTTTCCTTGCCACTGCTACTCATGTTAGATGAAATGGGCCAAAACCCATCTTAGGTTGGTTCTTGATCATCAAACAATGAGCGTGGTCTAGATCTGCTCTTGTTCTTTGAAAAGCGTCTTGGGATGACGACTGTTGTGAATTGGCGCTATATGAATAAAATTTGATTGATTGATTGATTTACATGGATGTAGCCCCTGTTTTCACGTTCAGTCTGAATTGAATCTTCTGAGTTTATATAACAGGAGAATTAGTCTCTTTGGATCATCCCTGAAATGCTCCAGTTAAGGCTTGGCTCCTGAACATGGAGAATGCTTGGACCTTATGAAATGCAGAGTTCAGCTGAGTTAGGACAACAAGGTTTCTTGTTCATGTTGAAGTAAGAGCTGCAAGTACAGAAAGACATCATTTGTTTGCTGCCTTAAGAAGGTCATAAGACACAGGCATGGCAAATCATGGAGGGAAACATGATTAAACTAGGAACCCATGCTTATCATGGGGTCATGGGTTATCCAGTTTTAAAAGTAGGGGTAAAATCATGGGGTCAATCTATTTTTACTTCCAGGGCAGGCAGCAGTAACCTGGTAGAGGCATCTACCCCACCCCCCCACTGTTTCACTGTGAACAGTCCATTCAGCACTTATGACCTGAGAATTTATCTGACATTAAAAGATGACAGTGATTGAAGTTTTTGGCACTTGAATGCAACATTTTCTTAAAATGTTTTCCAGAGAAAAGCCAACTCATTAAGCTCATCAAAGTCTCATCCAGCAGGATTAGTCAACGGAACTCAGTGGATCCCTTGTTTACATATCTGTATTGAATTTCAGACATCAATGTTCCTGTTGATTTTTCTTTGTTTGTGGTTGATAAACACAACCACAAAATGCACTTTAATATATGATATTCATAGTTATCAAACCTGTTAACATGTTTTGCATGGATTTAGATTAATTCATGAAACAGGAAGCCACATTGAGTTACACTTAACGTTTTAGAACATTGTCTTTTTGTCAATAGACGGGAATTTTCTGCATGTAATAACAAACTTTGAGTTAAACATTAGTCAGTAACTGTTGTAAGGTAGGTAACATGATACTGTTTAAAGGTATATTTAGAATAGAAGAATATAGAATAGAATATTCCTTTATTGATCCCCCATGGGGGAATTTTTTTGGCCACAGCAGCATCACAGACAAAGAGTGCAAAAATGCAGTTATAAAAAGGTATATAAGGTTCCTTATGTAGACTGTAGAAAGAATGGACGTCCTCAGCCAATGACAGAAGGCAGAGTTGTATTGCCTATACTATATTCAATCTATGGTTCCTTACATGAGCTTTAAGCACACATGAACATTTTTTCAATAACACCATAAAGGGGTGTTCAGACCAAACGCGACGTCGGCAACGTCGGCAACGGCAACGCCGGCAACGGCTCCCAATGCAAAGTCTATGGACAGCCGCGACCTGACGCGACTTGGCGACCGCCGGCTGCCTGCGACGTGACCTGACGCGAGGTCGCGTCGCTGAGGTCGCGTCGCTGAGGTCGCAGGACGTCAAGTCGCGTCGCTCCCAAAGTTCAAATATTTGAACTTTGGGAGCGACTATCCACGACTCCGTGCCGCGACAGCCAATCAGGGCTCTGCTGATGTCAACAAACCGACGAAGCAAGGAGGAGGAGAAGAAGAATCACCAATAGAGGAGCAGTTTATCACTGCCATGAGTTATCACCCGGTCCTGTACGACGTTGGGTGCACGTTTTACCGGGATGATTTCGGGGTTTCTGGTCATTTGTTTATTTATTTCAGTGAGCAGACTATTTTCTGAAAACATAGCAAACTTCCCCTGCTTGCTAGGCTACATGTTTCAACGTGTGTGTGTGTGTGTGTGTGTGTGTGTGTGTGTGTGTGTGTGTGTGTGTGTGTCGCAAGCGCTGGAAGCGGCTGCAGGATGTATATATGAGGGAGAAAAGGAGGGAGAAGGAAGGTGGGAGAAGCGGGTCAGCGGCGACCAGCCGCGTCCTGCGACCACAGCTTTGGACCCGTTGTGAACACACCAGGGCGCCACGCCACGCGACGCGACGCGATGTGACCAACCAACGCGACCAGGTCGCATTTGGTCTGAACACCCCTTAATACTGCGTATGTTAGTATGTTAATCGGCCTCATGAGAGCAGCCATCATCTGATGCGTCTTTTTGAGTGAACCGTCAACTTTGAATACAAAGAACAATTGACAATAACTGCTAGTTAAGTGACTTATCAGGTGCTCAGGTGATGCACAGCCGACATTGTGAACCACCATAATGTAAATGTTTATCCAATCATATTGTGAGCCAACCAAAGAACATCTACATGAACAAGGGCTAAACACTAGTAACCTCAGAGTTTTAATTTCCCAATAGTCTCTTTATTCCTGACTGTTTTTTTGGACCTCAAATGACTGAATTTCATTTTGTCTCACACTTCTGTTGCACCAATATCTCTTTCCCTGCAAAGGTGAGAGAAAGTTGTGTATAAATGTAGTTCAGAGATCCTCACAGTGATTATAACCACAGCAGAGCAGCAGCAGACAATGTTTTAGTGGAGTCCTGGGCCTAAACGCTGCTGACAGAAAAGTGTTTTTTGGGGGAAACTTGTTATTCTCCCCATTGACGGACAGGCCCTGGCAGAAAAATGCCAATCAGGAGGTAAGTGGGATTCCCATCATCCCGCTCCTGCCTCGAACACCTTCACTTTCCATTTGCTTCAATATGCAAACCAAGCTGTTTAGGGAAGAGGAGAAAGGCGGCTAATGAGCTGCCTGCATCAACCCTGCAGATAAAGACAGACCCCTCATCGAAGCTGCTCAGGAGAATGCCTCCTCTGGGCATGCTCAGAAACAGCAAAACAACAACAACAACAACAACAACTATACAGCCAAGGCAACACAAATTGATGTGATTAAGCACTGGGAATGACAGTTATTGTGCGAAGGGCTGGTTGCAGAGCAAGCAGATTCTGAGCGCTGGGGTTTGCAGGCAGGCAGAGAGCGTGCAGCTGCAGATAGAGTGTGGAAAAGTTTACATGCTGAGATGTCAGCTATTGGTGAGACGTGCTTGACCTCAGAGCAACACAAAGTTTTCTTTCTTTTCTGTCTCCCCTCTCCGTGATAGTTTCTATCGAATGTTTTCAGTGCTGTGTGACACTCCGGGCTGCAGAATAAATGACATCAGGGCCGGTTGGCGCTCATTCTCAGAGGATTGGCTGACATCCTGGACTGGAAATCAATCTCTGTGAGAATAATGATCCATTACTTGATCTGACAGTCTCTGCTGATTGTTCATCTGCCAGAAAATTTCATATAGATTATCCCCTGTCTCAAGGGAATCATAGTAAGTCCTGTGACCTACTGTCCAATAAATGAGGGAAGCATTTAATTTTCTGTGAGAGTTAGTGTATAAGACACACTTAAGGACAAAAGTTGGCTGCATCCAACACACCACTGAGACCAATATACCTGTATAAAATGCTAAGAGACTGCTGGTAAATATATGGAGCTTTGTTCAGTCTTCTGGCAAATCAAAGTGCTTTTACATGTAAAGTTTATTCATCTTTTCACACTTATCCACACACAGAAGGCAGAGGCTATCCATGCGAATTAATCCTGTTTACATGCATTCACACATTACTGCCACTGGGAGCTATTTAGGGTTCAGGATTGTGCCCATGGACACTTCATGTGAATGCAGTGGTGTCCATGTGCACTGAAAGATGACAAACTCTACCTTCAAGTCACAGCAAGGTTATCAATCGTGTCACAATATTTCCCCCTGAAGATGTAGCTGCAAAAAGCAAGCAGCCACCTCACTCTGCTGCATAGAGTGAGACAAAGCAACACCCACTTAAATTTTCCCTTCATGAGATCAAAATAATTATTCCAAATCCAGTGTTGTAATGCCTGATATCACTCACAGTAAAGCCTGATCATTCATGCATGTTTTTGTCACAGCCTCCTTATGTGCTCTCGTTGTCCCTCAGCTTTACTAACCCACACTTGCTCATCCTGCTCCTTTTGTAGTGCTTCAAAGCTTTCGCCACCTGTAACTACACAAAGGATTTCACAGCTGCTATAAGGAAAACATGTTAAAGATACAACAGTCCCCATGCAGCACATTTGAAGACACCTGAACCTCTTTGCTTTGATGCACATCAATCTGAGCTCCTGACGCTGATTATCATGTTTTTTGACCTGCATGTAAATGCTGTGAATGAAGAAAGGGTGCACTCCATTTGCCACATAAAACAGACAAGAGTACAATCGTTAGTGGCTCAGAAAGTGTTTGCTCTAAATCATATTGTTGTCATTTTATTAATCAATCAATCAATCCTTCAGTCTTTATTTGTATAGCACTTTTCATACAGAAACAATGCAGCACAAAGTGCTTTACATAGCAGATGAATAAAAGAAACAAAGAAACCCTAATCTACCTAAACCCCTCATTCCCACCCTGCAATCAGAGCACAATAGAAACATGTATTAAAATGCATAAACTTAAAAAGGGCTTGATTTTGTATAAACGGGAATGTGTGCACTGAGGAAACACTGTTTAAAAATTCAAGCTAAGGAAACACTGGAGGTTAGTTTAAAATCTAAAACCAAGTAACATAAAATGAAATTTAAGAAATAATGAATAAAATGAAATAAATACAACAGTAAAAGATACTAAAAAAAGAGCACCAAAATAGCTCAATAAAAGGTGATCCTGTCATTCAAACTAGAATAGATAAATGTTAAAACACTTAAACAAAGTTAATGATATAAAATTTAGTTTAAAGCAAAACTAAAAAGGCATGTTTTTTTTTTTTTTAGTTTGCTTTTAAAATCAATCATTATCATAGGCAACTGAACTTATAATTGAAATGTGATCAGTATCTTAATCACTTTTGGATATTGCAATTCTGCAATAGCACTTGAACTGAGTTGTGCCATCAGTAAGCCTTAGTACTCATACAATGCATCCTGAAATGACATAATACTGGTGTATTTACACATCTCATCATGGTGCTGATAAAGCACTGTCTGCTCTTGTTTCACCTTCTTTCCACTTTACCTTTCTGTAACATCTTTGCCTCACCTTTGCACCTCAGACCGAAGAGTCACACACTGCAGACGAAGAGTCACAAGCATGAACATCCCACCTAGAGATAGCAGTTTTGAAAAAGCCTGGTAACAACAGTTTTGTTTCTGCAGAATTTTGAATGAGGTCAAGTCTCCAGAAACACTTCAGTGGAGATGAACTTTGATATAATTGTAAAATTGAGATAAAGCAATAAACCCCAGCAAGCTTGGGTGATAATGTATGACTTTAAGCGACTTCTGCAGACAAACATCATCCATCTGATTCTGCAGAAGTCCTGCATTTCTACGCTGTGAAATAAAGGTTATTTGTCAGTCAACATTTGCTAAACTGTGAGGCTAATTAACAATGTCAGGAAATACATCACATATCAAATCAAATACCATAAAAATGTCATCAAAGGCACTGGAGCAGGGCTTTAGGTTTCTTACAACAAACAGAGTCACTGCAAACACACAAATGCAAGTATGATGGGTCTCTGTTGGTCTGCATGGGAAATGTCCACCCAGTCGCTGACATTCTCACATTGCTGTTCACTGTCTAACTATCAATACACCAAGTCCAGCTCAATCCTTCATCCAAAGCACTGAACTTTTGCACTTTCCTCAAGTCGACCAGCATTTAACTCCACCACAAACCATCACAAACAAAACACAAGGGCCGTCTCGTTTCACATAATTGCTCAGCCAGAAAATGTCCATTACGCTCTTGTTTTCCTTGGCGCAGGGAGCAGAACTTTAAACCATAAAAGAAAAAAGCAGTGTGGGAAGTTCAAATGGTATTGTCATTAACGCCTCAGCACAGTGATCATTCACAAGGGGGGGATGCATGTACAGACAATGCAGGCCTTTCTTGCTACAGCGCAGATGGCATCACAAAAAAAGAGAGGCCTTCTCTGCAAACACCAAAAGCAAACACACAAACAGTGGTGACCCTCTGAGTCCCCAATCCATCTTTTCTCCTGTTGGGGGCTTGTTGTCCCAGAGAGATCAAGGCGTCTTCATTGAGCTGATGTTTTCATGCTGTTCTGCACGCTCATTTCAGCCAACTCTTGAAATGTAAATGGAAACTTTACAAAAAAGTATATTTCACCCAGCTTTTTGTTTGCATTTACAACTTGTGTGGATTTTGGGGACTTTCACATCAAAGCTTTAATGTACAGTAATTTATAGCTGATCATCAATCTCTGTCAGTGCTACACAGGCTAATTAGCATGCATTTTCTCTTTTCTTTGTACCTACTGAGCGCTTTTCTATTTTACACAGAGGAATTTGTTTGCACAACCAATCACCACAGTGTTTGCTGAATACACAGTGCAGCGTGAGACTGTGGGCTCCATTTGGTTTAAGGCAAATTGGCTAACCTTTAAAATTGCTTGCACTGGACCTCATCTCTCCTGCAGGAGTGCTGGGTATCTGGTGGATTGCCCTTCAGAAACACAGATGTTCCATCTCCAGAGTCATTTAGCTTTCCTTCACTTAATCCCTGGATACTGGCACTGCTGCAGCAGAAATACTTCCAAACAGAGCTGCAGCACTTCTGTGTGCAGCTGTGCCTTAACATTTGTTAAATCTTGTCATTGAGCAACGGAAACAAGTCTGAAGAATTTACTTGTGATTATGTTTCACACAAGGGACTGTGGGTATGCTGGTACACATGCAATCCCACGTTTCCAGCTACAGACATGGCAAAATACCAGAGAGATTATCTGCACTACAAATTGCAGTGATTAAATGACCACTAAAGCTTTAAATGAAGGTTAATCATTATATTTGGGAGCATGTTGCACTTTTCAGTCACTGAATTTAACATTTCTCTTTAGTTGACTGTCTGAGCTTTTATTTATTATTGCCTCCAATGGGGATTGTTTGGCTTTTTCAGCCAGCATCAAGTAGACACTTGAGGAACTGCACTTCCACTTTGGCTTCATTTGGAATACCGGAGGTTACTGCTCAGCTCAGTCTTGATACTCTGTTAATACTGCAGGATTTTCAGTCATTATGTAATATTTTAATTGCATCTCAGACACTCTCTATTTGACGGGCAGAGCATGTAGTATTTAGATTTAGACGGAGTGCACAGGCAGTTTTGTGGAGTAGTCCAAATCTATTCTGCAAATATTTATACATAGATAAAAAATTCACCCTTGTCATGTCAATCTTCACAGGATAAAGACTGTGTTTTTCTATGTAAGAAGTGTTTTTTGTGCCTGCAAAAGAAAATTGGTAAAGGAGTCATTTGATTTAGCTCATATTCTGAAAATCCACACCATTATTGGCTAATACTGCACCAAAAAGACTGCAACTGCAAGATTAACTGTACAAATAACACATTTCTGAAGTCAAATCACCTTGCCTGTGATGTTTAAGTGCAGTAGTATCAAACCCAGACAATCAGGGGCATATCCAGACATTTTTGAGTGGCTGAATAGGGGCTTCCAACATAGGCAGAGGTGGCCGAGGTGTGTGCAGCAACACTCAAATTATTTTCAGCTCTTTTCAGCCTCCATCTGTCATGCTTTGTTTTGGCTCTTTTTACACCAGCTGCGTTTACATGGGCACAAATAATCGGAATAAAGGCCCTATCGGAATTAAATGTGCCATGTAAACGTTAATCAGAAGATTCTGATCCAATTCGGCTCAATCGGCAAGAAATTGTATTCCGATTGAGAGGGGTGGTTCATGCTTATCGTTATTCCACGTGTCCATGTAAACACTTGTTTCGATTGTGACTCTGATGTGACTCAGTCTTCACTCTTAAGCCTTTGGCTTATTTATTGAGGCCAGTACAGGAGGTTTCATCACGAACACTCTGATATAAAACATAACCACAGGTGCTGTGTCTGCTCCTTCGGTAACATAACAAGGTGTACATACAGCATAATTATGTCACATCTGCACGCACAGTGCAACCTTTGACAGAACAGTAAAATAAGTATGCAAGGGCACCATCGAATGAAAACATTTAACAGGAGGAAAACTCCTGAACTGGATGGAGTGAGCCAACTGGTTTGTTGGTTTGTTGACAGCACAGGTGTAAATACAACTCTTCTTGTTCTGCAGTTGTTTTAACAAAATCAAACAACTCTGCGCATGTCCAAATGCTTCAAACCTGAATAAAGCTTGGTGCATGTATACGCACATCATGATCAGGTTATTTGATTTTGTACTAATATAAACAGTGGATTAAAATGATCTGATCTCTCAAAATTTTAATCGGATCAAGACATTTTGCCCATGTAAACATGGCTACTGATGGACAGACACAGCTTGGAATTTTTTAATTTTTATTTTTTTTCTACACTGCTTGTTCTGTCATGTACTATTGTAGTGTTGCCTCCAGCTTATGGTTCTGAGCTTCATGGAGCTCTTTCTAGATGAAGAGCTCCAGATTTCAGTAACATCTGAGACTCAAATCCAGCTTGGATACTGGTCTTTGATTATGAAGTGGTCCTTGGTGAAGCAGCAAGCACAAACAGCAATGATGATGTCCTGAAACCACCAAAATTTCTTGCTGTTTTCTAGAGCCTTCGTATTTGGAAGCAAAAACAGCAGAGACTTTCCTTTACAGAGATGCTCTTGGCACTTTTAGGGCCTGATCTACTAAGATCCCATGTGCTGTTAGTGGCTGTGTTGTGGGTGATCTACTATGTTTACATGTGCAATTGATAAAGGTTGCAAAAGTGGTGCAGACAGCCCTATTTAAATGGGGATTTTGTGTGTGCTACAGGCTGTCACCAGTAGCAAAAGCAAAGGTTAGGGAAAAAGCTGGTGGTCGTAAACGAAGAATGAAATTTAAAGACATAGAGTTGAACCTATCAGAAACTAGCAACTGCATAAAAGCTGTGTTTTGTCTCATTCACTGTGTCCCCAGTACGTGGGAACTAGATATACTTCCATCCTGTGTCACATGGCATTCAACACTTTGGGCAGCACACCAGAAAACCTACTCTGGAAGATGCCGGCACTAACTGCACTGGAATGATCCAAACACAGGAAAAAGCAGTGTTACAAAGAGTTTTTCAATAGTAGATATGGCATGGATCATTTTTGCGACCGGCTCCGAATCAGCCCTTAGGTCACCCAGCAGCTCAAAAACAGCATTCTTATTATGGCTAAAACCCACAGGGTTCGGAACGGCTGCGCTCTGATCCGGAATGATAGGCGGATCAAATATGCAAGCATTTTAATCAATGTGCGTGGTTCCACACAATCTGTCCACCATCCGGCGACACTGTTGATCAGCTCCGACGGTTGGATTGGAAAGTCAAGATGTTGAACTGTTCTTCACTTAATATTAGGAGAGGCCAGGGTTGTAGGATGTGTTTGTATATACCACTGTTTATATACACCGATCAGCGGATCTCATTCAATGTCTCACAAGTAAAACATGTGAGATCTCATGAGATTTCATCCAGTCTTGCAAGAAATAACGGTAATACCATGAGCGCTTCTTCTTCATTTGCTGCAGCGGATTGGATTGGGTGGGCGCTGTATACTTGCATATTTGATCTGCATGCCGGTCCGGAGCGGAGCCGTTCCAGATCCTGTGGAATCCCCAGGTTACTGTTACTCTACTATTTTTATTTCTGACTGTCCAAATATGCTGACACACACACAGAAGATTCTCTCCCTCCGTCGTCTATCATCGCACTTTTGCCTCCTTCTCCCCACAATGACCAAAGCCATATGTGCGTAATGCTTTGCCATTTTGCACGTGCCTTTCAAATGTGCTAAATGAAGATGCAAAAACACCGACCGGAATCAGTTACGGGGTTTGATAAATCGCACTGTTAGTATCCGGTTTGTGCATCCAACAAGTTTGCACATGTATTTACACATGCAAACCTTTAGTACATCAGGCCATTAGATTATGAAGCTCTTACTAACCTCTCCCTCCTCAATATGCTTATTGGTCCAAATGAAGTCACTCCTGACTCCCCAAATTTCAATACTTAATTGCTGAGTCTAAGAAACAAAAATGGAATCCCCTTGTTTACTCTCAGTGTTTATATTATCATTCTCATTCACTTCTATTTAAGACAAATGTTAAAATCCCTTAAGTTAAAGTTCCTCCAGCATGACTCAGACTCACAAGGGAACTTATCTGTTCACCGTCACTCCAAACACTGACGTGAGCTGTCAGTAAAGAAGGCGATTTAGCGAGTGTTTGCTGGTGTCCTAATGGAGACTAATTGAGTGGGTTTATGAGTTTATGATCCTCACACTGTTCAAACTGACCCTGGAGAGCTTAGCTGACCTCACAATGCACACACAATCTCACTCCCTCCTCCACACACACACACACGCACGCACGCACGCACGCACACACAAGGACGTCTGCAGCACCACTGCCATTAGCCAGAAAAAGCTGACCTGCTCTGTCCTCCCTCTTTCATAAGAAAAAAATATTTCCAGACTCTTCCACAGAGGTCAGGCACATCAGTTTATAAACCCAGCACATTATTTCCTGTTAATAAAGTTATTTTCTCTCTTCCATGTTGAATATCTCTCTCCTCTGGGCCCACTGTGAAATATGTTAACAATTTTAATGTAAACTTTTCAACTCTGTGATTTACTACACTTACATTTCACCATTTAGAGTGTTTCCACCAACCTCGAGGGAACAGTTTAATTTTATTAGGCCTTCCTCCCTCTGTAATTTGTTTTCTCTTATTAATAAGAATGGTGTTTGGGAACTATAGAGCATTTGTTTCAGAGGAGGATCAGCTCTGGGTGTAATGAGGTCAATATGAATGGATTAATAAATTGGGTTGAGTTATTACAGATGAAGAAATCACCTTGTTTAATATGATCCAGATGAACTGTTTTAAAAAAACACCCCCGTTCTGTTGCCGTGCAAACTATATTGCAAATCCTGTGAAAGCAGTGATATTATAGTCCGATTCTTGCATCTTTGTCAAGTTCATAGTCCAACAGCTAGTACATTGATTGTTGGGGGCTGTTTTCATTAAAGTCCTAATTTTTTCTGGAGCTGGCAGTAATTTTAGAGCTTTTCTGATACTTTTTACTTAAACTATGTTACTAGAGCCGTCGAGTGGCACCTCCATTCTCCTTAGTCATGACCATTTTGGCTTTCATGCAACAACATTTTGCCAAGAAAAATCTAATAATGACTGATAGCTCTTAGCCTGAAAATCTACCTCAACAAAACTTTCCTGTACGTGTCTCCACTATTGTTCTTGACAAAAGCTTTGTCCTTGTTCCTAAGGCAACTTTCAAAGACCAAACACGTCACAGCGGTGCACCAAAGGCAAAGACTTCCCTGAATGCGGCTGACAAATCTGTCGTACATCAGGTGCATCATACCCAGACCAATCTATCTCATAATTATTTGCGCTTGAATACAAATGAGATAGCGGTGTCTCGAAGTGCTGAGAAACACACTGTAAATCGAGAGTTGAATGTTAGTGATGGTGTTTAAACTACGCTATGCTAGCCAGGTAGCCTGCAGCTTCTATGCTACAAGAGCAGTGCCATGTGACACCATCACTAGGGTGGTGATGAAGCAGTTAAAGCGTAGCCCAGTTCAGTTCAGCATGACAGGTCCACGAAGACCACAATGACCTAGTCCATGGAAGGCTACACCCCTGGATTGGTATAAAGCTAAAGTTGTTATCAGAAGTCTTACAGGATGTGATGATGAATAAAGATACTCCAAAAAATGAAAACGAAAAGGCTAAATTATCACTGCAGGCATTTGCATGCTTTGCACTTACACAGCTTATAAGATCATCTTTTGAGTACAGCTGTTAAATAACTCCTCCATTGACCTGCATCTTGAGGTTCCTTCCTGTTGTCTATTTCTAGTTTCTAATCTCAGGATAGTTAGATTCAGTTTTTGCTTCTTGTATTTTTGTGATGAATGTCTGTGAGGAGGAGAGTGAAAGGATGCAGCCTGGTGTTGACTTCTTTTGCGGCTTGTCGAAGTTTCATGAATGATTAACAGTGCTGGGCTCAGACCTGCTCATAAATACGCAGCAGGCAGCAGGACTGAAGAGGCTCCTTGTGGACAGGCTGAACTGACAGATTGGCTTCCAAATCATACCATACACTGCAAGCTCATGCGCTGTATAACATTGTTAATGTGGAAGCCGCCTGGTCAGAAATCATGCACATGTTCTACAGAGTCAAGAGGATATGCAAAAATTGATGAAGAGGCACAGCTCTAAAAAAAGAGCAACATTCTGCTATTTTTTGTCCAAGTCCAGTTGAGTTAATGTGCTCAGAACAAAAATATCTCCAGTGAATACAATGTCATCCACAGACAAATTGCTCCTGATGCTCTCATTAGCTCAGAGTGATATTTTGATTTTTACCTCTTCAGTCAGTCCCTGAGTGGGTTTCGGGGTCACTGCCTCCACATGCATTCTCACGATGAGAGCCAAGGTGCCACAGGACGACCCTCCGTCTCTGTCGTGCAGCATCATGAATATTCGGAGGGCTGGCTGCCCCGCACATGATGAACTTTTGGTTCCAGAATCACATCTCAGCAAATTTACTCTCCCACTGCTATTCTGCAGTAGTACAAAACCCAATTCCATTGAAGTTGGGAAATTGTGATAAATGTAAATTAAACAGAATACAATTATTTGCAAATCCTTTCCAACCTATATTCAATTGAATACACTACAAAGACAAGATATTTAACGTTGAAACTCATAAACTTAATTTTTGTTTTGCAAATAATAATTAAATCAGAATTTCATGGCTGCTATACGTGCCAAAGTAGTTGGGACAGGGGCATGTTTACCACTGTGTTACATCATTTTTCCTTTTGACAACACTCAATAAACGTTTGGGAACTGAAGAGACTAATTGTTGAAGCTTTGAAGGTGGAATTCTTTCCCATTCTTGCTTGATGTAAAGCTTCAGTTGTTCAACAATCCGGGGTCTCCGTTGTTGTATTTAACACTTTTACACTAATGCGCCATACAGTGTCAATGGGAGACAGGTCTGGACTGCAGACAGGCCAGTCGAGTACTTGCACTCTTTCACTTCGAAGCCACGCTGTTGTAACACGTGCAGAATGTGGCTTGGCATTGTCTTGCTGAAATAAGCAGGGCGTCCATGAAAAAGGTGTTGCTTTGATGGCAGCATATGTTGCTCCAAAACCTATATGTACCTTTCAGCATTAATTTTGCCTTCACAGATGTGTAAGTTACCCATGCCTTGGGCACTAATGCACCCCCAAAACATCACAGATGCTGGCTTTTGAACCTTGTGTCGATAACAGTCTGGATGGTTCTTTTCCTCTTTGGCCCAGGGTGATTCTGGTCTCTGAGATGGTGGTGGTGACCAGGATGATACCGGGTTTGGTGATGGAGGGGGTGTCTGGATCAGCAGTGCTGGCGGGCTCGGAGTTGAAGGGGGTGACCAGGGTGCCCAGGGTGATGATGGAGGGGTCCTGGGGGCCAGTGGAGAAGTGGATACTCTGTCATTTCCTAGTAATTAGAAAAAAGATATTAACATTTTGACTCGTCAGAGGGATCCAACATAAACACAAAAATATACAACCCACCTATTTATGCATAGTAGTCTATGTGCCTGATGATTTTCGGCCTACAAAGGGCAGGCAAGATGTCGCTCGGAGTATTAGACGATGAATGACCAAAATCAAGACGTTTTCTAATACGTTCAAAAGAGACTGCCACTCTATCTCTCTTTGTCAACTTTGTTAAACCCCCCCTGCAGATAACCTCCAGTCACACCACTGAATAGAGAAAGTTATCTTAAAATATATCTCATACTCCTGATAAGAAACAGGGTATGGGTGTAGTCTCCACTCTTCACGGCCTCTCGCTGCGATCATCGGCTCACGATCCTCACAGACACTCAGAAAAATAAAATCTTCCGAAAGTTTAAAGAAACGGTCGGCCTAAATGCGATACATTTCCGGCCCTGTACCACTGATCCATTGTGATGTATAGAGCACCTCGAGAAAACCAGGCTGATCAAGGTCTCAGCAGGCCACAAAGCGAAACAGTTTCCAGTCTTTTACAGACAGACTTACGTTCAGCCCCTGCTCTTCGCTCCCACTCTTTACACACAGCGTAACGTGGCTATCGCAATATTCAAGTGTGTATATGTACCCATTGGGCCCTTCATATTCTATATTAAACTCAGACAGTGATCCTTTAGTTAAACCCCAGGCCCATCACTTCTTATGGTGAGGTGTTGCAGACAAATCTGTTGCGCCTGCCGTATCAGGAGAAGACGGACCTTCACAGGCGACTTTGTCCGCAAAAGATTCCATTTTGCCAATTGCTTCAGTCCTGGAAAAAAGAAATGGTGAGTGAAAAACAACAGCACAGCCACTTGCTTATATTCACACGGCTTAACACACCCACAAAGTGGAGCCATAGCAGGATGTGACGTCAGTTCCCCCATCCCACCAGGATGTGACGTCAGGTACTCATCCCCCCTCACATAGTACTTTAATAAATAGTTTAATAACTTAAACTCATCCAAACAAATGTTTTGTTTTAATGAGATGATGGGCAGTTGAACCTGTTGGACAAAATGTTCCAAATGCTCTTAATCTCTCTGTTTCTGTCACATTTTTTAGGTATAAACTTTTCCGTTAAATGTTGAAACAAAGACACTACTGGTATGACATCAGTTTTATGTTTTATGTTTTTTTTTTTGTTATTGCCAATAACAGCTTACCATTCAGATCCTGTTTTTATCCTAGTTTCCAGATGCGCAGCCTAACGTTGCTGGTGTAGTAGAAGAAGCAGGTAACATAGGCGCTATTCAGCTCTTTAACACTAATGTGTTCTGACACATGATAAAAGTTAATATCGTAATTAGCTTTCTTACGAGCATTGCGAACTGCTTGTTTCACGATTGTCCTCTTTACTTCTCTGAGTCTGGCCTGCATAGCGGGTGTCTGGGGGCGGAGCTTGCAGTTGTGATGTAGGAAATCTTACAGTGTCTGAACTTTCTGTTTGGATCTGACAGAGGTCCACAGAGATTTGAATTCAGAAATACTCAGAAATGCAATTTTGCTTATGATTTTTCTCATGATATGTCCCGTAGCATCAGAAAAATGCCGTATGAACATGTAGACAACAAGAAAAACATGAATTTCATCAGAATGGGTCTTTGAGTGTGACTCCATCAGCCAAACTAGACTACAGCTATTCAGGGCAAAAATACTGACGTGTGACTGAACCTGAGAGGCGTGTTCGTCCTAAGACTAAAACTAAATCTATATTAACTGTGTGATTCACACAAGTGACAGGGTGAATTTTAAAATGCTGGTCTGGTGCTAACATACTGATAGATCTGGAATTCAGACTTCAATGAAACCTTTACTCAAAATTAACTTCAAAGATGCTTCATGTTCTCCAATTGAGCTCAGGTTAGCGCTGATCTTCCGTTTCAAAATAAGAGACAGCCTTAGCACAAAATAAGCCACTTACGTTCTCGTAATTTTACAGAATTTATTGTCATTATTTTGCAACTTAAATCTTGAAAGCCTGTTTCTTTTTTTCCTACAAGGTGGCCCTGAAACACCTCCCTCCACAGGGTAACAAAAAACAATTCCAAACCTCCAGTCCTAGTTTGATCCTAAAGATGGCCCTGTGAACGTTGAGCGATGTCACATCAAACCCAGGAAATGTGGGAAAAACTTGGATCAGTGCCACATTCAAAAGTCTCTTGTGGCCACAGTGACGTATTAATACACTTCCTTCACCAAATGAAAGTCTGAAACTTTGCAGGAGAAGAGTTTCTCAAACAATCCCCATCTTGCTTTTCTGGATGACTTACAGGAGGAGCGGATGAGGGTATCTTTCCTGGATAAAGCAGAGATATTTAATAGAAGAAATCAGTGTTTGAAAATGATCATCAGACTCTCTCTTTCATCTCAGTGCATCCTTAAAGCTTTGATTATCTCTGTTCAGGAGCTGAAGCACTGATACATCAAACCTAGCTGGACATAATGATCTGATTGGCTCCCGCTGTGAGGGAATCAGGAATCACGGCTTATCTCACTCAAATGACTTAAAATCAACTTTACAAATTGAAATACACGGTACCAAGGGAAAAGTCTGCCATAGTTGGATGAATATTTCTATCAAAAGTAGGAGATCTTTGTGATGTTATGTCTCGTCTGGGATTAAAGACACAGTGTATGATCTGATTTGCTAATTGGTGTGTTTAATTATCAGGTTGATGTCAGTCTATTAGAGGCTTCATGTAAAAATAATGAGCCAGTCTGTGTGTTTGGAGTGGCTCAGGTGTGAGGAGGGATTTCAAACGTCCTCCTTTTGTTGCTGAGCTGTATTACCTGACACTCTTCTCTTTCTCTTGCTGATTTACCGTGTCGCTCTAACCAGATTTGTGACACAAATTGGGATATTATGACAATGACCACAAGGGTTAAATGTTGCGTTGGCCAAACACTGACTGGTCCCCTTGCCTTCCGCCCTCCCCCATCTCACTCTTTTCTCCTTTCAGTCTTTTATACCGAGGCCCCAAACCTGCTAAAAACATTTCTAAATGACAGTTACTGCATCTGTCTTCAAAGAAGAAGGAGTTGTGGATTTTCCTCGCCTAATGTGGCATCTTTGGAGGGGAAAAGGCGAGGCCCTCAGGGGACAATGGAGGTTTGTCTGGGAAGGGGTCAAGAATCAGAATGTGGAGGACATTAGCAGTCAGCAGATTGATACAGGACCATTGATTCCAGGCTTCTTTTTTTCCTCCTCCTGGACATGATCTGCATTGCAAATGGCAGTTCTGTCACACTGGCCTTTTCTGGAGTCAGAAAAGATCGGGGTGGGGAGGTGGGGGTTGAGCGGGGTGATCAGGGGTTCTCACAACCTAGACTCCCCTCTAGACTCCATAACCTCGCCCCCTCCCCCCTAAAAAAACCCTCCCTCTGCTGCACTCCTCCTTCCCTAGTCCTCGCCCTTGTCCCAGGATCCCTCCACAGCTGCCTCCTTGTCTCCCAGGACTTCTCCTCTGTGCTGAGGAGGACACAACAGGCTTATTGTTCTGCAGGGAGGAGGCCAGGATGACTCTGCTGTTCCTCCGTGTATTGTCTCCTTTAACAAGCCCCAAAAGGCCTGTGAGGGTGTGCCTCACCAGCATGCTAAAAGTTAGAGCTCCAGTTTTTAAAGACAAACAATAAATCTATCTTTCTAGAGGGCTCAGTTTCAGGGTTTTCCTGCAACCTTTGCACATGTCACACACACCCAAGCTGCAAGGCCAACACTGCTGTTGACAGATGTTTTTGTCAGTCAAAACTTGACAAATAAAGGGCAATACTTATTGTGCATCAGAGGAACTTCTTACAGGAAGGCCACCATTGATGCAAGACTTTAACAAATGGGAGGGGTGAGCAAGGGAGTGTTTCAGTCAAGAGAATGTGCCACTGTGTTGTGTGACCTGACACTCCGGCTTTAGGTCCGGTCATCAGCTGCTATAATTCTTTACAACCTGGATGTAAACAGGCACAGATGACAGATGTTGATACACTTGGAAATGAGTCATTCTGAAACATCTTTACACCATGTAGGGATCTGTTGCAGCACATCAACTTCTTAAATACGACTAAAATTCCTATGTGTTTTACACAATAGTTACTAAAGGAATCTGAATCTGAATTTGAATCTTTTGTTAATGGGCCTGCCAAAGCACCAGTTGACTCCCAGTAAGGCCTCACTTTCTGATGTCATTTTCATCCCACTTCTTTTGTGTGTTTTAGGGTTCAGAGAGAGGATAAAACTGTAATTTGAGAGTGAAGTTACTTTTTAAAAGTTTAATCTTCAAAGAAATTCTGGGAATAAGATTTACTGTCAACAGTTTTGGCAAAATTTTATGCAAAGCAGCCATGAATCATTACCATCATCTTCAGACTCAGTTTGTCCTTTTAAATTCAAGTTTAGAGAAAGAAACATACAGAGAAGAGTCTACTTCCCTGTGTCAGAGAAACTGTGTGGTAAAAATAAATAATGCAGGACATGCTGACCGTGGATGCCAAGAGTGTTCCAGCTAATAATGTTCCATCACCTCACAGAGACAGAGGAAGTGATATGCAAATGGTGCTTCACACACACTGAGCGTGTCCTCCAATTATAGGCTCTCATGTTGCTACTGGCCACCTCTGCGCAATTAGCCCCCTCCGTATCTGACTGTTGAGCCATGTTAGCATGGTCTGCAGGCCGGTTAGCAATGCAAATGAAATGAGAAGCAGCGTTTCCAGGGGTGTCATTATAAATTAGTGTTGCATGATGGGCACAAATTGCCATCCCTGCTCAAACTTGCATCTCCAATAAGAGCCCGCTCACTCCCCAGGAAATGCTATTTATCCCAGTTAAATGTGCAGTGAATCTGCTCTCAGCCTCTGCATGACAAGTAAGTCTCGGAGTTACAGAGAGGAATCTGAGCCGGGGAGAAATATCAGTGTTTCTGGTCCCCAAACAGTCGTGTTTGTATGATTTATTACTTTTGGTCGTCTTTATAAACTGATACATTTTAAAATTTCACCCTCGGCGAGGACAGAATATCTCCACCCGGGTTCCCAGTTGTGAAATTCAAGCTGTCAGCGATGACTTCTAGCTCTGAAATGTGTTTCAAATAACTGGCCAAGTTCACGGTATCTAGGAGTCACTCGCTGTTGTGTTCATGTCTTGTATCAATACAAAATTTATGAATGTGAGTGTGTGAAAATGAACTCATGATACAGTCCAAGCCAAGGCCAGTCAATGGAGGCACGATTCTTATTTCTATAAACCCATCATAAACCCGTAACCCATCATAAATGGGTTTATAGATTTCTCTATTGCAACATGTTTGGACCTCTCCAGCACACATTTGAAATATGGTGTCAAATAACATTTGTTTTCACAAAACCACAGCAGTGTTCAAATGCAGAACCAGGCAAAAATTATTTTATTTACTCCAATGGTTTTTAATTTTGGAGAAAACCAGGAAAGGGATCAGATTTTCTGTACTGCTTCAACTGGATGTCTGTGTAAATGTCCAACCTCTTTGGTAGGGTGATCATATTCAGAATCCCCATAAAAAGGATGCACGCGTGCAAAATTTTAAGGTATTTTTTTAGGTATTTTCGGGTTGAGTGTTTTTCATGTGGTTCTAAGTCAGTTAAACGCTCATATTCTTATAAGTTAACTGGGAATATTTGCAAAACTCTGAAAAATATTTGTCTAAAAGGTTACAAGCCCCTTTTCTCAGTTTAATTGTAGAACTATTTAAGACGTAAATGTCTCCTATTATTGAAAACTTGGAGATAACCAGGATTGTGGTTACCTGTATAACAGCAAATCCTGTGTCTTCTCTGGGTGTCCCATAAACTTAAATCCCGTTCCAGAGAGTAAATCATTTCTTGGACTTGCAGTTTTTAAAATTTGCAGTCTTACCTGCTGTAAGTTTGACACATCCTCATGCAGCTCTCAGACTGAATCTGTTTTTTTTTTTTCTTTTTTCATTTGCTGAGTAAACCGTACGGGTCTCAATATGCCTTCAAGTCTTTGTCCTTGGTCCTCTGTTTTACCCAGGCTTCTTGGCTCTGTGGCTGTGGACCTTGGCGTAACATTTAGCCGGTCTCTGGCTGTGAGACACTGCTCCACAGTCTCTGCTGTTTGCCTCCCTAATCAGCTGCATTGTCTTAGAGACGACTCACCTCTAACCTCCAGCCTGCCGACTTCAAGGCCGCCGTGATGGATATAGCGAGGCTGTGTTTGCTGCAAACACTGATCTAAATTCATTAACCCTCCCACAAACATTTTCCCAAGGTTTGTTTCCAGAGCCCGAAGGAGCAGGAAACAAATGCTCCCCGACAGCCTACAGAGAGTGTTATTAGAGAATATAACAAGGAGCAGAGATAGAAATAAAGGACAGGAGGGTAAATACATTTTACAGTTTGAAGTGTTCACCTGGACTCAGTGAGAGACACAAAACTCAAAAACCAAAAGCAAGAGTTTGATTTTTGGTATGAATTACAGCTTAATATTAACAAGAGATCTTAAGAGATGACCTCAAGAAGTGAAATGTGAAGGAAAAACTTCCTTTGACAGGCAGAAATCTCGAGCAGAACCAGACTTATGTCTGCTGAGGCCGAACTGGGTTTAGAGGTAAATGCAGAAAGACCAAAACTGAAAATTTTTCCAGATTTGAATTTTTTTTTTTAAGTTGGCATGTGAACTGAACTCGGCTATAATATTGGCATTTTGGCCTAACTCCAGATAGAATATTCACAGAATTTAATATTGTAGATCTAAATATATTTGCTGACTCAGGTATTTGTGCTGAATAGTGGTCGTTGTTGATTATTTATTGCACTGAAATGTGCCCGACACTGGAAACCTGCCTGCAAGGTATTATCGATGTGTGCGCACTGTTGTACCAGTCTCCCAAATAACCACTTGACCAACTGCACTCTGCCTGCCCCTAAAACTAACCAGCTAACCAACTTTCTGGGCATGGAATCATCAGTGCACCAGCTGATTCTGTCGACACCTCCCCTACTGCATTGCCACGCCCAACTTGGCACATTAAAGTGTGCCTCAGTCTACGAATTTCCCAAATTGGCTGTGTGTCACCCTGTGCTGTGTCCTTGTTTAGATTCACACCAAAGAGCAAATTTTAAGGGATGTTTCATAGCAATGATAGGTCACTGAAGATGAAGATGTGGCTAAAAGAGTAGTGGACTGAGTGTCTATCCGGGAGTGTTTGGTAGACTTAAGGACAGTAGGGGCTGAGCTTCAAAAGATGCATCTCCTAACAGCTTTTCTACTCCTGTATTTCTCAACAGTGAAACTGTAACCTCTGTATATCAGATCTGAAAAAATAACCAGAACAATCACAGTTTCTCAGTTGACCCTCTTTTCTCTCTCACCACAATGCCAGTGTCCATTTCCACTGTAGCATGTTTCCCAAGTAGCATTTGTTAGGAAAAAGGTCAAAAGACATTCAAAGTGCTTGTGGCGCATATCACTCTAAGTCTCCTGTATGTCCTTTAAGTTAAAATCATATGACTCACACATTTTATTCATTAGGACTGGCAATCGGGATGGATCCTGAATTTCTGAGGAGAAAAGTGGGAACTCTATGGCTGTGAATGGCTGATTTAAGTGTGAATGACAGAGTGCAGAGACTGATGGGAGCAGACAAACCAGCCAGAATAGGCAGCAGGGAGGGACATGCATGGATGACACGGCTGCACGGTGAAAGAAAAGGCGAGATGGAGAGAGACATAGAGTGTAGTGGCATGCGTGGCGTCTAAGCCTGGAGTCACATTATGCCAGCTCACCGGGGCACCGCTTTCTCCACGGCCCCCAGTGAAAAGGCCTCGTCTTCCTCGTCCTCTGGGGATGATATCTGGGGGAGCCGGAGCAGTGCCGCGCTTCCTTCAAGGCCTGTCAGAGGCTTTGACGGCAGTCGTAAATTTAATCCTTGGACCTGCTGGGATACAGAGGAGCCGAGCAGCAGGAAAGACTTTCCTACTTCAAGGACCTTGGCTGGCTGCGGGATAGCCTGCCAAAAGAGCTTTAGACCTGATGACAAATTCATTTTTCGCAGCTGCACCACAGAAATGTGGGTAAATGATACCTCTGCAAACAAATCTGAGAAATAATTATGCAGATATCTCTGAAGGGAGTATCTGGAGATGTTTTTTAGCACTCCAGAGAGAAGAAAGAAGTCAATGCTGCCCCTTTACTCTCAGATTAACAGGAAACATATTCTGCCTTTTCTGCAGAGGGGTTTGGCAGTATTCTTATTTTTGATCTGCCATGTCACCGAGCCCCTGATCGAGAATGTGGCCTGTGGCACCGTGGGGGTCTGTCTAGCTGGAGAGGCATTTTGATATGAGTTGATCATGTGTAGAGACAGTTGCTGTGAAGGCACAGATGTAGAGGAAACTGATTTTACAGCCAAGTGAAGACCGGACTACGGTGGTAGCATCAGGCCTGCGGGGGGGGGTTAGGGTTTGCATGTTTGCATCTGAGTTCCCCCTCCTCTCAATGTTAAGGCCATGCTAACATTTCAGTGGAGGACAAATCACATGATTTCTCTACACTGAGGTTTTCAGGTTTTTGAAGCGGTCACACCGAGTTTTAGAGACGCAAACCTCTGAAATGAAGGGGATGAGTATCTCTCACCAGCGGTGGTCAAAGAGAAAACACCCGATAAGCCTCTCTGACTTTCATCCTCCTAAAGCTTATAAATCTAACACAGCGTTAAATGCAAAACTCTTATTTTCCTCCACCCGTGACAGGTGACACCACCTGTGAAATCCTCAAATCACAACTTACTCTGGCTGCTTTTTGTGTTGACAGAGCAGAATGTAATCTGAATAATAAATGCATTCTCTGTTGCATTCTTTATAAGAGTTAGGCACTCAGTCCTTCACTGTGAGCTTTCAATCACGGGGCCCCAGGGGGCTGTGGATACCTGCTCTTTGAAGCACTCAGAAAGACAGCAGGGGAGAGTCAGGATGTGGGAAAAATCAGCCTCCAAATAAAAACCTGGTCCACAGAAAATCAGGGGCCGTGCTTCAGAGAAGACGTGAGTTAAATGTAAGAGATAAAAGAACTTTTGATACAAAATCATTACACAGAGATAGTCACTAAACACCTCCTTTTTATCAAGAGATGTGCAAACATTAGATTCACATTGTGGGAGATGAATTTATTTACTTTCTGGATTTATCATCAGCCTTCAACTTCAACATGAAAACGCCGCCTCTGGCTAAAATTTCAGGACATAAACTTGTTTCAAACTGGAAGTTTTCATTTTCTGGGGAATAAAATGCAATTTTGTAGAAAGATTACAGTTATTTGAACTCAAAATTCACCACTGCCTTCAGAGACTTCATTCAAGTGGAATATTGACAAAAACTCTTTATTTGTACTGTTTTATTGCTTGTATTTATTCTGTTATTTGAATATAGAGTATCTCAATGAAGTCTAAGGATAGAGTACTTCGATGTGGGCTGTGTTGTTTGATGATGTAGTGTTTTTGTTCTAAGTTTTTTTGGCAAATTCAGCTCAAATAAATTCATTTATCATGTAACAAGCAAAACAAATGTTCTTATCTTGCAGATTTGAATTCTGAAGCTTGAGTTTACATTTTCGGTCCTGACAATTTTAGAGAAATTGCAAGAGGGATAACCTGCTCACTCCACACCCCTACCTCTGAATATTAGTGCTCATTTTAATAAAAAAAGTAAAAATCATCAACAGCTTTTGCATCCACTGAAACATGTAAAGAGCAGGGCTTTTATGCAGAGAAAAAAAAGTGCCTAGGTATCCCTGACAAAAGGTATATCTTTACCCTCATCCTAACCTTTGCCCTGACCTGAACCCTTTGTGAAGGAAGAACATTAGTTAGAAAGTTGTGAGTTTGAATTGATTTGACATCCCTCTTCAACAGTCAAGTGAGCATTTGTAAGAAGCATGCAAAGGATGCAAGCGTTGCAACAGCCTAGTGCACCATGGGGAATGTATTTTAAGAGCTGTAAGACAAACAGTAAACAGGAGATTATGCTGATGACACGGTGCCCAGATAGCAAAAGACATTGATTGATTCAATGTTTGATTTTGGTTGAATTGGTTATTTTTTGTTGAGGTTAAAAAATCTGCATTGATTCAATGCTTATTTGACAGTTACTATTTCAATGTTTGAAAAACTGTTGTTGAATCAGCGTACCTTTTGGAGGGCATTTGTGACAACTGGCAAGTGGGCACAACGGCAGTTGATCAATTCTTCGTCCCCCTGCTAGTGATACAAACTGGTAAATTCTTATTATCCCACTCAGATACTATCATATCCCTGTCACTGTTTGACTAAATGTTAACATTGTGGATTATTGCTCAAGCATAGTTGTTACCAGCAGTTTATGATGTTGAACTAAGAAAGCTAGCGGCATGGAGCTAATTGCTACCAAGTGTATGTAGACTGGGATTAACATAGACACGATATATGTATATTGTGTCTATGGGGATAAAGCTTCACACATATTAAATACAATACTCTGTCCGTTTGACGTGGCACATTGTACACTTAAGTAAGATAACCATTTTTTTTTTCTCTAATCTGTTGAAATTACCTACCTGGCATCAGAGGGACCAATCCTAAAAATATGATCCCGCAAATGATATCTGCTACAATGGCAGACAGTCTAGCCTGCATCTTCAACTGGGCAGGAAAGGGACCAAAGAAGGCCTTCAAGGACATGCTAATGCTGGGCTGCATGTTTGGTGAGTCTGCCCATCAAAATACTGGATTTACTACTTTACAACGGATGTGGAAATCTTGATGACGGGTGTTGAATTTAAACTTATTTTTAATTTGAACTTTACAACACTTTTTTTTCCTATTTGTTTCTGAGGCTGCTCGTCAATTTGATCGCACAGAATTACAATACAGGAATACACAGCAGATGTGGCTGCATTTTGGACCTGAGAGGTGTGGCGGAGGACCAAGGACAGAAAAGTCAAAGAGTTATAGGGCCAAATGGTTCAGAGTTGGAGGCGCTCGTGAATTAAGTGTGTTCCATTCATGTTGAATTATGGTCTTGCTTGTTCTTAAGGACTGCCTGATTGCATTTGCAATGTTTTGAGACCCCTGGATCTTTAGGGCAAATAGATGGCCAAGAAATTCATGACACTGTAATGTATTGTTCACGCTGAACTGGGGTCTTACAGTTTTCAAGGACATTGACATGTTTGTGTTTCCTGTATTTTCCCCTAAATCTTTAATAAATATCTAAATAAATTATGGTCTGTTTTATTTATTTTTTCTTTTTCTGTTAATAGAGCATGCAGTTGAGCAGCTGTTCTCAACCTTGGTTTCTTAAATAATGGAAATAACAATTCTACAAGCTCACTACACATTTTCCAATATTCACCTATGACATAATTATAATAAGTATGGGGTTCCCTGAAACATGTCCCTGTAAAGTTGGGTCTTTATTTAAAAAGGTTGAGAATTACTGCAGTATCACATACTAAATGGACCATCTCATAATTTTAGGCTTCGTCTGTGTTAAATGTGCCTCATTTGAATAATCATTTTAATGGGGTGACTAGTAGACTACTTTGGCATGCCTCTTTTTAAACTATATCACGGAGTAACAAAAGTGATTATCTTTTTAATAAGGCATACAAATAACATGCAGCGGAAGGTTGAAAAGTATTGAAATGGCATACATATGTATTGCATCAATGTGTGATGCAATGCATATAAATGTGTGTGTGTGTGTATGTATGTATCTCTCTCTCTCTCTATATATATATATATATACAGTACAGGCCAAAAGTTTGGACACACCTTCTCATTCAATGCATTTTCTTTGTTTTCATTACTATTTAAATTGTAGATTCTCAAAACTATGAATGAACACATGTGGAATCATGTGCTTAAGAAAAAAGTGTGAAATAACTGAAAACATGTATTATATTTTAGATTTCTCAAAGTAGCCACCCTTTGCTTTTTTGATAGCGCTGCAAACTTTAGCTGTTCTCTCAATGAGCTTCATGAGGTAGTCACCTGAAATGGTTTTTACTTCACAGGAGTGCCTGAAGTAACCCTGACAAGGTACTTCTGTCATCAAGAGCAAAGAGTGGCTATTTTAAAGAAACTAGAATATAAAACATGTTTTCGGTTATTTCACACTTTTTTTATAAGTACAAAATTCTACATGTGTTCATTCATAGTTTTAATGCCTTCAGTGACAATCTACAATGTAAATAGTCATATATAAAAAAAAAAAAAGACATTGAATGAGAAAGTGTGTCCAAACTTTTGGCCTGTACTATATATATATATACACACATATATATAGACATAGCTAAATCAATGTTTATGCGATTCGACAGACCTTTAATGTTGATCATTTCAGTTGAATCAAGATAGATTTATTTTCAGAGGTGATTGGAAATTCAACATTATGTTGAATGTTGATCATAGCGAGCACTTTCAATGTATTTTTCAATGTCTGATATCAATGTTGAACACAATCTTCAGCCTGACAATATCTCAATGTTGAATCAATCACGTTTCGCTATCTGGTTGATATTCTGCTGTGCAGAAGCTCTCGATTAGGCTTTTCATTACATGTAGGCTGCATTCGACATTACTGAGAGTACACTGCTTCAGAGACTGTACACACATATTCTGATTAATGACTCATTAAATTTTAACCACTTGCACCCAGTGCCTGCACATGTGGGCACAACCATGTGATGAGCCTCTTCCTCTCATCTCCAGCCTCTAGCTTCACAACAACGAGATGAAACAACAGATTTGAGTACAGAGTACAGAGCATGACTACAAGTATTTTTGAAAATTTAATGGACATATTTATGGACATATAAATTATTTTAAGATCGTAAACACTGTGTACACATTTGACAAGTTCTCATAAGCTAACACAACACTTATTTTCTTCTGATTGAACCACAAAAATGCCTATCAAGCTGATGGACATTTCAGTCTGGACAACCATAGCCCAAAGCTCCACTGATTGGCTGAAATACAAGCCTGTGTAGCGTCGCAGCTAAAGTCAAGTATCTTCAATGCTAACACACAGGATCATACAGTCTGCGCACAGGTGCAAGTTGACCTGCGGAAGATCGGGGGTCGGCTGTTAGTGTTTATGACATTGGAGTTGCATCCCCATTTATTTAAGAATATAATTTCAATCAGGAGAGACATTTAAAGATTTAGTAATTTTATTTGACAATTATTAGAATGATGCTTGACAGAAAGTCTTTGGCGTTCGGACTGAATGTGGTGATTTGTGAGATCATAGGAAGCTTGATCTGTGCCGTGGCAGGAAAATCCCCCTGATGGAGTCCTGAAGCTGGTGGTGGTGGCTGTTGACTACTGGGACCGGAAGGATGAATGATGGCACTGTTGATTCTGCTGAGATCAGGGTGAGATGGTTAATGTTGAGGGTGCTGTGCTCAAACCAGCAGTGAGAAAGAACTAGAGGCAGAGAGGACAGTCATTTCAAAATGAGTGCGTAACGAGGATAGGCTGACTGTGAGTGTGTGTTACCATGCTATTGGATAAGAGAAGACACCGGTGAATGGCCGACTAACCAATGGCTGCTCTGAGAGATGGCAGCGGTAAGAAATGGCGGTTCTAGACTAGGGCGAGACCCCCTCCAAGCGCCCCCACCACCACCACACACACACACACACACACACACACACACACACACACACACACACACACACACACACACAAAGAGATAGAATTTTGAACAGATAGTTTTGTATAATTATGTAGTATTATTATGATTATAATAAAAAAAGAAAATAGTTCTCAATTGCACAAATCCTTTAATAGAAAAAACACAATCCTGAGGGCCATTTTGAGAAGCCATACTCATGAAGCACGTAGCAAGATACAAGCATGAATCCGACCGCTTCATTCGCCTATCAGAGGCAGACGGGTATGGTGATTTGATTCACCACAACTCCAGAAATGATTAAAAGATTACAGAATGTTACAAAATAGCGTATCCGCGCTCCCGGCTTGAAGGCTAGAAATGCGCAGCCGCTCTCCCGGCTTCGAAAGCCGATATGCAGACATACTGTCCCAGTTTAAATGGGTTAAGTGATTGATGCTGATGACGACAAGGCCAGTGAGCCGTTCCTGAGACATGGTTGACCTTAGGTACGACTTTATCAACTTCAGTTTTTAGAAGCTCCTCTCTGCTTGAGCCACCGTGACTGGCAGAGTAAGAGCAATCCTGAGAGCAGAGCTGTCCCCCGCGACCCCCTCCCCATTTTGTCTCATACAGTCTGTCAGCCTCTGTGCAGCACCTTCGCAGCAAGCAGGGGCGCCTACAGCAGCAGGGGGTGCCAATTTGACAAAAAGGGTTAATACAAAACTGCTTTGCGGTGCAGATTTTTTATTATTATCTTTTTTCTTTCTTTTTTCGAAGTGCTTGTGCCGCCCCCCATGAGTCATGACACAAATGCCGCTCCGGGTGGCTGCCCTGTTTGCCCGTGCCTAGAACCGCTTCTGGTGGTAAGGCTGAGTAGGTGCGGAAAGACACTGACAGCTGTGACGGCAATTATAGTCTTCCTGACTGAACTTACGCTGGAGCTTCATTTTATGAACTATTCCAAAGTCATAGCAACAAGACATGATAGATAGAAATAAATATCAATAAATAAACACCAGTGATTACTGTAAATAGAACAGGCACCTACACTTTACTCCAGATTTCATAATCTATGTTTCAACATTATCTCATGTTAAGGATTATTTATGTATTTTGTATTTTTATCCATTGTCTGTATAACTGCCTTGTGCTGTGCACAATGGTAGAAAAATATTATTACATACAACATACATGATTTAAATGCCTAAAAATGTGAGGTAGTCCTTGTGGAAAAGAAATAACCAGGAGTGAACATGCAGATCTCATGTTTTCATTTTAAAGGCAATTTGGCACCAAAGCTCTCCAAATGATGTCCGCCTGAGACTTTTCTGAATAAAATGGCTGTAAAATTGTTATACATCATTTCTATGACACCAAACTTGGAGGGATTGCAGGTCAGATGTTGTAGAGCAGATCCAATACATCATCTGCCTACTCACATTGGGTTTACTTAATTAAAACAATAAAATCTTTTTTTTTTTCTAGACACAGATCAAATTTTCATTTATCCGTGTCATCTATCCGATACCATTCTAACATTATGAAGGTCATAGGCAATCTTTCATTTAATGTAGATTGTACAAGGTATCACTTTTCCATTAACACTAAGATTGTGCATCTAGGCCCTACAGATGATGAGCTTTTACTGATTTACTTTGGTTGTGTAATTTGCAGGCAGAAATAAACCTGAAATAGCCCAGGATGCAAGTTAAAAAACATGTAAAAACTGAAGCTAAAAACTGAGTTTTTTTTGTTTTGTTTTGTTTTATTTTTTATTTTTTGGTTTTTAATCATGTTGTATTTTCATTGTGTGTCTCTGAGGCCAGATGGCCATCTTTGGTGACCTGTATTATTAATAAGTCAGTTCTCGGCCTGCTACCACACCGTCTCTGTGTTTTTATTTCACAGAAAAGTTGTGCACACTATTCAGTACATCTTCAGGATTTTGAATGCTTTGTGTCCCAAAAGCTCATACAGAAATTGGTAAAGAAGCTTTTTGTTTTTTTCATGTGACTTTGACAAATTGTTTCTTCTTATATGCTTATTTTAATGCTTGTAAACTGCACTGTGGTTCCCTGTGTGTCTGCAACTTTATGTATGCTGCTGTCTTGGTCAGTTATCTCCTGAAAATAATTTTTAAACTCAGTGGAACTAACCTGGTCAAAAAAAAGTAAAAAAAAAAAAACTTGTACCACAAAGATCAAACGTGTCCTATGAAAACAGATTATTTTTGCACAAAGAGCCCGATGATTTCTGATTGTGTCATTAAATAGTTGCACTGCTGACATAGTCCTTGAGCCGGACCAGATGTCGGTACCACTTGGGTGGGCAAAACCTTACATATACTAAATTGTTTTTAGGGTCAATATAAGTAAATTAAAATATGATAGACTTTTCATAGGGGTAGCTTTTTATATTTTTTCTCATTTTGTTATTTTCCTCAATAGGTGAATTTTTGTTAACTCCAAAAGCAACACAGAAAGTCAAAAGCACATTAAAAGTCATACTCTTTTTGGGTCACACTGCTCTTTTCTATAAATGAATCAAACCTGTGTCTAATTAAATGAGTTGATGAAGTGGGTGTGGCCCAATTTGATGGTGGAGCAGTTCTTTCAGGTATCATAGCACTTGAGCCAAGAACCAAGATTTCACATATCGGTACCACCTGGGTGGGCAAATTCTAGTTGTGATTTTTTTTATTGCTAAACATCCCTACAATAAGTTTTTATATGATAGACCTTGGTAACTGGTAGCTTTATTGTAGTTATCACTCATTGAAGTAATAGAGTGCAGCTGTTCAAAAACAAAAAATTGCCTCCCTTCAAAATTAGCTTTCTTTCATTTTAACCTCTCATTTAGGTGTGTTTGAACTATTGGCTAGCCATATAGACTTGTAATAACCCCCTAAGTAGTATTTCAAGTAATTTATCTAATACAGGTGTGTATATATAAGCTTCAATTAGCCAATTGTCAGGTCTAAATCAAGGTCTAACTAAAGGATATTTTTTGACTTAGAAGTAGAAGTAAAGTAAATGCAGACTAATAGCATTATAATGACACAAATATAATATGACACTGACATATTTTAAATACAAAATAAGATCTACTGATGTATACACTCTACGCTGTGTGCACAATTATTAGGCAAGTGAGTATTTTGATCATATCATCATTTTTATGCATATTTTCCAACTCCAAGCTGTAAAAACTTGAATGTTTATTGGATATAAGCATATCAGGTAATGTGTATTAGTGTAATGAGGGAGGCTGGGGCCTAAGGAGATCAAAACCCTATATCAAGGTGTGCATAATTATTAGGCAGCTTCTTTTCCTCAGGTAAAATGGGCCAAAAAAGAGATTTAAATGACTCTGAAAAGTCAAAAATTGTAAAAAGTCTTTCAGAGGGATGCAGCACTCTTGAAATTGCTTAGATATTTGGGTG